TTTCGAACCACGTTTGGAGGTTCAGGATGCAAGCGTAAGGAGCTGGTGGAAAGGAATGTTGGCATGATTTATAAAGGAGCTCAGGTGGTGTGTATGTGGTCGCTAACATGTTGCTCAGACCCAGAGGGCTCTCTTGGAAGGATCCTTAAGCTCTCCAGCTATCAAGGTAGCGACAGTTGAGAGGAACAATGTAGAAATGATACACCGGGTGGTAGTTTGGCTTAAAGTGCTGGGTTTTTTAATTTGCTATGAGCATTATGAAAACCTATTTTATCCCCCTTCCTTTCCCTCTTTTGCTTTCTCTTCTTTGACCTTGTTCCTGGCCTCCTTCTCCAGGTTTCTTTCCCCCACAAAACAACCACCTACTCCAGCCTTGAAAACAAAAGATGGCTTGTGTAATATCCAGAAGGACATCAAGAACAAAGCCCAACTGAGCAGCTGTCAACAGGCGTGGTGTGTGTGTGTGTGTGTGTGTGTGTTTGTGTTTGTATGGTTTGTTCCATCCTGTTTGGGTCATGTTGCTGATCCAGAGAGGGGTGCTTGACAATAGGAAAGCCGAATATTTGACACTCTAGATTAAGGTTTAGAAACCGGCAGCCGGTGGGCCAAACCAGGTCCATGGAGTGATTGATAGCTGTCATGAAATTCTATTCAGTATTGATCCAGAGCAGAACTTCAACATATAGTTAGCAGAGTAAAAACTTAAACATGTTGCAGGATTCCCAAAAAATAGACCAGAGGCAATTGCATTTTATCCAGCAGAGCTTTACTGCTACTGAAGGCAAATGAGCATAATGGTCACAAATCCAATACATTCGGGATTGGCACTGTCCATAAGAAATCCAGTTGCAGCAGACTTAACTTTAACTTACAATAACTTATAATAAGTCTAAACTTTAACACTAAGCATATTATGCACAGAATATCATACCAGGAGAGAGAGAGTTCTGCCCGGACACTGAGGTCCAGCTCCGAGGGCCTTCTGGCGGTTCCCTCACTGCGAGAGGCCAAGTTACAGGGAACCAGGCAGAGGGCCTTCTCGGTAGTGGCGCCCGCCCTGTGGAACGCCCTCCCATCAGATGTCAAAGCGATAAATATCTACCTGACATTCAGGGAAGTTTTTAATATGTGACATTTTAGTGTATCTTTCATCTTTGTTGGAAGCCGCCCAGAGTGGCTGGGGAAACCCAGCCAGATGGGCGGGGTACAAATAATAAATTATTATTATTATTATTATTAGAGAGAGGGAAAAAAGAGTGAATCCCAGGCTCCTTCTGGCCTTATTATTATAGTCAGCATGACCTTCGCAGAAAGAGATAACAATCAGTTTAAACCAGCTGCACTCAGCTTCTCTGAAGGAATACCCCAACTTCATGAACCTTCTGCTTGCTTCTTTCACACACAGAAGCTTCCAGAAGCTTCCAGAACCCTCTTGAATTAATTAGAATAGGAAAGATCTTTACACATCAGATCAACACTTTCTGCACTAAGAATGCAAACTGACAATAGCACCTATACCAGGGATTGTTAACTTGCAGTCCATAGGCTATGTCCACCACCCAAAAGGGTTTTTTTGTGGGCCTCCAAAAGCTGTCATTAATTAGGGTTTTTGTTTTAATTCTTGACAGTTCCATGGGTTCACACCCCCTTTGATGCCAAAACTTTGTCTCCCCAAAAACTTTCAATTTCTGTAATTCATTGATTGATTGATTGATTGATTGATTTTTGAATGTATTTAAGTTTTATCTTTACTAACTGCTCCTATAGCTTCCTCAGCATTGTGTCAAAAGGGATTTTGTGCTCCCCAAGTCCCTGCCTTTCAAAATCAGTCCTTATTTGTTCTGAATTTAACCATGAATCATTAAAAAAACCCGATTTAAAATAGTAGAAGACTCTATAAAGACTTGCTGAATAGGAGGCAAATATGAAATAGCCTGCCTTTAGTCACCTAAGGGAGAGAGACCTTGTTTAACAGAAATGTCTTTCAAAGATATTAAGGCCACATTGTTATCTGTGCTGCTTTTCAGTTTTCTGCAGTTAAATTTGAAACTATGGGTTGCATTTTATGTTGTGTTTCTTTGCTTCTCTCTCTCCTCTCTCTCTCTCTCTCTCTCTCTCTCTCTGTGTGTGTGTGTGTGTGTGTGTGTGTTAGAAATTTAGAAATAGGCTAACAGTTGTTTAGGAGCCCATCTTACAAAATTCAGCCCAGATTGTGAATTCCGACACTGAGCATTCGGAACTAGAAACGCTTGTTAGAGAGCTCTGCTTTGCACATCTGTGTTTCCCCAGGAGTCTGACCTGTCCTTGTTCCACCTGCAAAAAAGCAGGGCTTTTAAGCTGCCAGGAGCATCTTGCCGTATTGTGCCTTTAATTGCTACACAGGGGATTGCCTGTCTTGTCTGGACTCCGCTTGACTAAGAATAGGGAAAGAGGGCTAGCCATTCTGCCTGGCTTCGGAGGGGAGGGAGGATGGAAGGAATTTACAATGTGTGTGTCTGTCTGTGTAGCCGAGCTTATGTCCAGGGAGGGGCTCAGTGCCGGATTTACGTATAAGCTAAACAAGCTGTAGCTTAGGGCCCCACTCTCTTGGGGGTCCCAAAAAAATTTAAAGGGAAAAAACCTGGATGTACATTTCCAAAATATAAGATAAAAAACAAATAAAATAAAACCTACATACAGCAACAGTGTTTTGTGTTGTGTAGGCTCCTATGATGTAAGTAATGGGCCCCGCCTGCTAGCCTGCTCCCTAAAATATCACTGTTTGCTCATTTCTATATATAGGGTGCCTACATTCTGTATGTGCAAATGGCTTTAGGTCTATAAATTACCATATAGCATATATTCAATGCAAAAAACAGCGGCAATTTGTTGTTGACAGCTGGACATATAAAGGGCCCCATTACCTTCAGTAGCTTAGGGCCTCATCAAACCTAAATCCAGCCCTGGAGGGGCTCACTCTCTGCCTCAAATACCCCAGTCTGAACACAGACACCCCAGTTGTGCAGCTGTATATATTGAATAAAGTATGTGAACTAAACAGGGATATGAGCTCAGTTTGCATAACTGTTTCCATTTAGGGGTTCGTGGCTGCAGATTTAGGATTGCGGGGTGGGGCGGGGGGAGTCAGAGCACTAAATAGCGTGTGCTGTGATGGAATGTGAATATCAGAGAGCTATTTTTTGCAACAACAGCCTTGGACTCTTGAGTGTTTGTGTGTGTGTGTACATATGTGTGTGTGTGTCCCCATCTGGACTGGTCCCTTCATTTTCTCCTGGAGCATAATTTAACATGCTGTCTCCATCCCCCGCCCCAGGTTCCACATACTCTCTGCTAGAAACCTTGACAATTCTCTGCCCTGGCAATCCAAATCCTATGGCAACCCAACCACCACCACAACCCCCCCCCCAAAGAAAAACCACTGACTTCTGCTACCTATATAGATTATGAAAACACAGGAAATGTGCATATGTTGTTTTGTTTTGCATGGTTTTTTAGTGCACAAGTCTAGTTTTGCTAGAACCTCCACAACTCCTGAAAATCCTATTCATCCAACATATCTCTGGCTTTGCAGGTTTCATTGGGTGTTTCTTGTATTCACAGATAAGACTTAAAGGTATATTCACAGGCTAAAGAGCTAGTAACCAGCTTTTAAAAGGAAAGGGAAAGGAAAAGAAATTGAGATCCTCTGGAAGTTGAATTTTCGACCCAGTTCCGTTTTCTAGGTTCTTGTGTAATCTGAACATACCCATATAAAACGACCTGTGGATTAATGTCCCGTTAAGTGGATGAATAGGGACGCGGGTGGCGCTGTGGGTAAAAGCCTCAGCGCCTAGGGCTTGCCGATCGAAAGGTCGGCAGTTCGAATCCTTGCGGCAGGGTGCGCTCCCGTTGCTCGGTCCCAGCGCCTGCCAACCTAGCAGTTCGAAAGCACCCCCGGGTGCAAGTAGATAAATAGGGACCGCTTACTGGGGGGAAGGTAAACGGCGTTTCCGTGTGCTGCGCTGGCTTGCCAGATGCAGCTTTGTCACGCTGGCCACGTGATCTGGAAGTGTCTCTGGATCGCTTACCAGCGGGAAGGTAAACGGCGTTTCCATGTGCTGCGCTGGCTCGCCAGATGCAGCTTTGTCACGCTGGCCACGTGACCCGGAAGTGTCTCCGGACAGCACTGGCCCCTGGCCTCTTAAGTGAGATGGGTGCACAACCCTAGAGTCTGTCAAGACTGGCCCGTACGGGCAGGGGTACCTTTACCTTTAAGTGGATGAATAAAACAGCCTTCACTTTTTTTGGGAGGCCAACAAGGAGGAAGCCTGGCTCCTCTGGGAAGCCTGGGAGCAGCCACCGAGAAGGCCCTGTCCTGTATCCCCACCAAGCATGCCTGTGAGGTGGCAGGAGCAAGAGAAGGCCTTCCCCCGAAGATTTTAGAGCCTGGGCAGGTTCATATGGGAGAATACGGTCCTCCAGATGGCCATAGAGTGCTGACCCTCCTAGAATCATAGAGTTGGAAGAGACCATGAGGACCATCTAGTCCAGGGGTCTGCAACCTTTAAGACAAAAGGAGCCACTTGGACCCGTTTCCGAAGAAAAAACAACAACTGGGAGCCGCAAAACCATTGCAACATTTAAAACAAATATATCTCCAGAGCCGCGATCTGACAGCGGGCGGGAAGGTGACGTCGGGACGGTGCGTGACTAACGCACACACCGCCCCCATGCGACGTCACAGCCAGTACAGCGCCCGCCACAGTGAAGAGTGTCGGGGCGCACAATGCGCCTCCTTCCCTCGCTAGTATCCGCCCCGGAGCCGCGGCAAAGATGTAAAAGAGCCACATGCGGCTCCGGAGCCGCGGGTTGCAGACCCCTGATCTAGTCCAACTTCCAGCAATGCAGGAATCTGTCACCCAGTGTGGGGCTCAAACCCATAACCCTGAGATTGAGAGTCCCGTATCCCTGGGCTCCTGCAGCTCTCCCCTGCTGACCCCTTGCCTTCTCTCTGCTTGCAGGCCTGCCGCGACTTCCTGGATTTAGCCGAGACCCACAGCCGCAAATGGCAGCGGGCGCTCCAGTATGAGCGGGAGCAGCGGACCCGCCTGGAGGAAACCATTGAGCAGCTAGCCAAGCAGCACAACAACTTGGAGAGAGCCTGCCGAGGGCCCCCTCCCTCTCTACAAACACCAGCATCCGCGCATCCAAAGGTGAGGAGGAGGCCCACTGCTTCCATATTTGACAAGCAGCTCTTGCCCTGCACCTTAGCTGGCTAGGACCTTTCGCAGGGAAGGGCCGGAGCTCAATCTTAGAGCACCTGTGTTGCATGCAGAAGGTCCCAGGTTTGATTCCCTGCAGCACCTCCAGGGAGGGCTGCAAGTCAATATACGGTGGTACCTCGGGTTACAGACGCTTCGGGTTACAGACGCTTCAGGTTATAGACTCTGCTAACCCAGAAATAGTACCTCGGGTTAAGAACTTTGCTTCAGGATGAGAACAGAAATCGCGCAGCAGCGTCGCGGCAGCAGCAGGAGGCCCCATTAGCTAAAGTGGTGCTTCAGGTTAAGAACGGACCTCCAGAATGAATTAAGTTCTTAACCCGAGGTACCACTGTAGGCAATAATGAGCTGTGTGGACCAATAGTCTGACTTGGCATAAGGCAGCCCTCCTATGTTCCTGCTTCATTCGGCTATTTCCTTATAACCATGGGGACTAGGAACTTAACTCTTTTTAAGGGGAAGGGCCAGAGGCAGAGCACGTGCTTTGCATGCAGAAGGTCCCAGATGCAATTCCCAGCAGCACCTCCAGGGAGAGACCCTGAAACCCTGGAGAGCTGCTGCAGCCAAGCAAATCAGTCTCTTAAGCTTAAGCCAAGAAAGAGTATTTTCTATAAGATTGAATATCAATATATGTATCAAGACTTTGAGATTAGACCACTGAAGAAGACTGGAAAACTATCTTGGGAGAGTGCTACCTGCAAGCCCCAGTAAAAGGACCCCATCGGGGGCAAACAGCAGCCTCTTGATTACTTGGACTGCAAGGGCGAAACAGGTGCAAAACACTGGACCCTGTCTACAACTTCATTAACATACATTTACAACTCCACTAAGGGACGCGGATGGCGCTGTGGGTTAAACCACAGAGCCTAGGACTTGCTGATCAGAAGGTCGGTGGTTCAAATCCCCGCGATAGGGTGAGCTCCCGTTGCTCGGTCCCTGCTCCTGCCAACCTAGCAGTTCAAAAGCACCTCAAAGTGCAAGTAGATAAATAGGTACCTCTCCAGCGGGAAAGTAAACGGCGTTTCCGTGCGCTGTTCTGGTTCGCCAGAAGCGGCTTAGTCATGCTGGCCACATGACCCAGAAGCTGTACGTCAGCTCCCTCAGCCAGTAAAACGAGATGAGCGCTGCAACCCCAGAGTCGGTCATGACTGGACCTAATGGTCAGGGGTCCCTTTACCTTACAACTCCACTTGCATCTCTCGGTATTGTGAATAACACCGAACTTACCTTTTGTTGGTATCTTCATGAACTTATCTAAAAGACTGAGTTAAGCATTGGAAAAATCTATTGAAACCAGACATTATAAGTTCATCTTAGGTTGGGTAGTTCGCAAGTCTCTGTGGCTTTGTTTAATGTTTTGTATTTTCCCTGGCAAGGTGGCATGATGGATGGGGGCTGGCAGCAGAGACTTGGGGGCCTGCATTGCAGGGGGTTGGACTAGATGATCTTCAGGGGGACCCCTTCCAACTCTACAATTCCATGATTCTGACTCCCATCAGCCCCAGCCAAGCCAGCGGATTTGCTCACCTGGGTATTATTGCCTCTCTGCCAGCAGGGAGCGTACAGAGCGTGAAAGCGGAAGCCAGTGATGAAGATGAGGAGACGGAGTACTTCGATGCCATGGAGGACGCACAAGCTTTCATCACAGTAGCTGCGGATCCATCGAAGCACCACCGGTAGGTATGGCACCTGCTCCATGGGAGCTGCCAGGCAGTCGGAAACCCTAGCATAGCAAAATCCACTTTAAAAAGAAGAAGAAAGAAACTGACCATCTGCTGTTAGGGAAGTGACAGGGAAGTGCATTCGAAAGAGTTGGAATGGACGTATGATTAGCGGGAAGTTGCATAAGCAGCCCCCAAGCAAATAATACGAAGAAGAGTTTGGATTTGATATCCCGCTTTATCACTACCCGAAGGAGTCTCAAAGCGGCTAACATTCTCCTTTCCCTTCCTCCCCCACAGCAAACACTCTGTGAGGTGAGTGGGGCTGAGAGACTTCAGAGAAGTGTGACTGGCCCAAGGTCACCCAGCAGCTGCATGTGGAGGAGCGGGGGAAGCGAACCCGGTTCACCAGATTACAAGTCCACCGCTCTTAACCACTACACCACACTGGCTCTTTGCATAAGGATATAAATAAGGATGAAGGACTGTTGTTGTATAACCTGCCCACAAAAAATCAGAGTAAATGTTTGAGAGTATAGTGGTACCTCGGGTTACATACGCTTCAGGTTACATACGCTTCAGGTTACAGACTCCGCTAACCCAGAAACAGTGCTTCAGGTTAAGAACTTTGCTTCAGGATAAGAACAGAAATTGTGCTCCGGCGGCGTGGCAGCAGCAGGAGGCCCCATTAGCTAAAGTGGTGCTTCAGGTTAAGAACAGTTTCAGGTTAAGTACGGACCTCCGGAACGAATTAAGTACTTAACCTGAGGTACCACTGTAGATATAATCTACCAAGATTATCAGGGGTCTGGAAACCAAGCCTGCTGAGGAATGGTTGAAGGAGCTAGGTACAGTATGTTTAGCCTGGAGAAGAGACCGGGAGGAGATATGACAGCCATCTTCAAATCTCTGAAGGGCTGTCATGTGGAAGAGGGAGGAAGCTTGTCTTCTCCTGCTCCGGAGGGCAGGATTCGAACCAACGGCTTCAAGTTACAAGAAAGGAGATTCCGACTAAATATTAGGAAGAACTTTCTGATAGTAAGAGCTGTTTGACAGTGGAACAGGGTCTACCTCAGGAGGTTGTGGACTTTCCTTCCTTGGAGATTTTTAAGCAGAAGTTGAATGGCCATCTGTCACGGATGCTTTAGCTGAGATTCCTGCATGGCAGGGGGTTGGACTAGATGACCCTCGGGTTCCCTTCCAATTCTACAATTCTATGATTCTATTGGGATGCAGGTGGCGCTGTGGGTAAAAGCCTCAGCGCCTAGGGCTTGCCGATCGAAAGGTCGGCGGTTCGAATCCCCGTGGCGGGGTGCGCTTCCGTTGTTCGGTCCCAGCGCCTGCCAACCTAGCAGATCGAAAGCACTCCCGGGTGCAAGTAGATAAATAGGGACCGCTTACTAGCGGGAAGGTAAACGGCGTTTCCGTGTGCGGCTCTGGCTTGCCAGAGCAGCGATGTCACGCTGGACACGTGACCCGGAAGTGTCTGCGGACAGCGCTGGCCCCCGGCCTCTAGAGTGAGATGGGCGCACAACCCTAGAGTCTGTCAAGACTGGCCCGTACGGGCAGGGGGACCTTTACCTTTACCTTTATGATTCTATTATTCTAACCTCTGTGCAACTTTGTGCAGGCGGATCAGGATGAATGCAAAACAAATAGGCTGTGTGAAAGAGGCCATTTCCCCTCTTTGGAGCACTTGGCAATGGATAGCAGGCCTCTTTTAGATCTTGCCTATTTTCAACAGACAAGTTTGGCTTTTCATTAGATGCTTAGAAGGCCACCCCTAATGAGTGGGCCAGTTGCATTCAACTTGAAGTGGGGGAAAGAAACCCCCTTTCCTTCAGTGCCTCCAACCTATTCAGCGAAAGAGCAGATAAAAGAAAGCTCTTTTTTGAAAAACAGCAACTGTGGAACTCACTGCCACATGAGGCATTGAGGACCACCAACTTGAATGCTTTAAAAGAGGATTGGACAAATTCGTGGAGGAGAGGGATACCAGAATGGTTATGCTCTGCCACCACAGTCAGAGAGGCAGCAATGTTTCAGAATACCAGTTGCTGGGAACCTCGGGAGAGAAGAGGGCTCTTGTGTTTGAATCCTGCTTGTGGGCTTCCCATTGGGGCATCTGGTTGGCCACCGCGAGAACAGGATGCTGGAATAGATGGACCACTGGCTGATCCAGCAGCCTCTTCTTCTGTTCCTGTGCCCAGTTCACTCCTCTCACCTGCCTGGTCCAGAAAATCTTGCCTTTGGGGCTTTGGACAAGCTGGCTGGCAAGCTGGCTTTGTAGGAATGTGAAGCCGTGCATTTGCATATCAGAACCCGCCCATTTGTGACACTCCCTCTCAAGGGCATGTTCTGCAGCAGAGGCTTCCGTTGTGGATGGGTAACTCTCGCTCGCGGCTCCGGGCTTCTGTGCGCCGCCTCACTCACCGCTGCGCCCTGCGTTTTCTCTGCAGGCGTGCCGGGAGCAACGTTAGCGGGACCAGCGAAGGCCGAGGGGAGGGCTGGAACCTGGACGACAACGTAAGCGCATTTTGCAAAGTTTGAAATGGGAATCCCCCCCCCCTGTAGCACCATGCATGTCCTAAGGCAGGGGTGGCCGGAAGGGTTATGGCTCACTGATAGGGCAGAGCTTTTGCTTTTCTAGAAGAGAAGCTTTATTTGAAATTCCAGAGAACCACTTCCAGTCACAGTGAGCTTCCTATGCTTGTCATTGGCCTGTCAACACCCTCCACCCACCTGCAATACCTTCCTCCCCGTAATAATAATAATTTTATTATTTGTACCCCGCTCATCTGATTGGGTTGCCCCAGCCACCCTGGGTGGCTCCCTACAAAATATTAAAAACGCAACATCAAACATTAAAGACTTCCTCATACAGATGTCTTCTCAAAGTGGTGCACAGTGGTACCTCAGGTTACATACACTTCAGGTTACATATGCTTCAGGTTACATACTCTGCTAACCCAGAAATATTACCTCGGGTTAAGAACTTTGCTTCAGGATGAGAACAGAAATCGTGCTCTGGCGGTGCGGCAGCAGCGGGAGGCCCCATTAGCTAAAGTGGTGCTTCAGGTTAAGAACAGTTTCAGGTTAAGAACGGACCTCCGGAACAAATTAAGTACTTAACCTGAGGTACCACTGTTGTTCTTTATCTTCTTGACATCTTGATGGGAGGGCTTTCCACAGGGGAGGTGCCACTACCAAGAATGCCCTCTGCCTGGTTCCCTGTAAACTTCACTTCTCACAGTGAGGGAACTGCCTGAAGGCCCTCAATGCTGGATCTCAGTGTAGGGGCTGAACAATGGGGGTGGAGGCGCTCCTTTATCAATATGATAGACATTTATTTATATCAGCTGCTAGCCTTTGCCATTCAGGGACAAGCATATAAAAGCACAGCCAAGCAGCTAAAATTAGCAAGCTGAATTAAAGACAGCAGCCGTTGCGATTTTGGGCTGCTGGGGAGATCACGTTCCCGTATGCAGAGGTGGGCGGGGAGCTGAAAGTCTCCTTCTCTGCTTCCTCCCCAGGTGTTTGACAGCTCTCACCAAGCCAGCTACGACGGTTCAAGCAAAGATGGCATTCACAAGAAGAAGAGGCGGACTCGGGTCCCGGACAAGCCCAACTATAGCCTTAACCTCTGGAGCATAATGAAGAACTGCATTGGCAAAGAACTGTCCAAGATTCCCATGCCTGTATGTGATTCCCCACTGCCCCATGCTCTGGTTCTGGGGGTGGGGCATTTCCAGGCCCCATTCTCTTTCTGGGTGGCCTTCCCGGGGGCCGCTTGCCGATGTTGGGTGGGGCCAGAGATAAAAGCGGGAAGAGAAATTGATGCGAACTTTACCTTCGTACAGTATGCTAGTTCCTACACACACAATGCGATAAGGGGTTTTGTCTTGTATTAAGTCCAACTGGTGGGGCATCTGTTGGAGGTGCATCTCTTTACCCTGAAATATGACACTTGAGTTGTATACTTTTTGGACCCCCCTTATTCCTGCAACAGTAAGTCGTTTCAAACTGCTTTTAACACTGCGATTTTTCCGACTTGCCCTGGGACCTTAGGGGGAAGCGGGGATAAGCAATCACCATCTAGCTGGCTAAGTCAGGGAGATTTCCCAAACACTTAGGCTCTTTGACAGCAATTTGCTTTGAATGGCACCGATAGAGGAATCCTCTTTCCTCCCCACTTCCCCTGAAACAAAATATAGTCGTACCTCCGCTTACGTATCCCTCCGGTTACATAAACTTCAGGATACGTAAGCAGCAAACACGGAAATGTATTTCCAGGTTTTTGCCGCGTGCACATGCGCAGAAGTGCTCTACTGCTGTGCACACATGCGCAGAAGCAGTCTCTCTGGTTGCAAAAACTCGGGATTCGGCCAGACCTCCAGAAAGGATCCCATCTGCAACCGGAGGTACCACTGTGCTAGTTTCAGGGTTGCAACAAGGGAGAAAAGGGTTAAACTCCACCTTAATATTTGCTCCCTTCCCGTTTATTTATCAGCCCCCTCCCCTGCAACACCCACTTCTCCCTTACTGGCATTTCAAGAAACCCAATTGTTAGATGCAAAGGCTCATTTAATGCTGCTTACAATTGGTCCTATAAGGTAGCAAGCAGAGAGAGAGAGAGAGAGAGAGAGAGAGAGAGAGAGAGAATGGGACCTTTGGCAATAGAAAAAGGGCTAAAGCAGTTTTGCATCCCAGCCTTTTGTTTTCCCATTAGTGACAAGGCTGGTTGTGGCCACAGGAACCCGGTTGGCCGGTAGTGGTGAAGATTTGTGGCTTGTGCGGCTGAGCAAGTCCGTCCCTGTTGTGGGGAGTTGGTGGTGGGGAGAGGGAAGGTTTAAACTCTGCCTTCAAAAGGCAAGAAAGCCGCCCACATGCTCTGCTCAGGAGTGCCTGGACAGCTAGCCGGGGTTGGCAGCGGCCCAGCAGCACACAAGCCACTGGCAGCGCCTGCTTTTGAAACAATCAGATATGTTTAATCAGGAAGTAATTGAATGCTTGCTTGTTACATTTCCAGAACTGCTTCCTGATTGAGCCCACGCAGGGCAGGTGCTGCTGCCGATGCTCTCCGTAGCAGAGATGCTCTGGCAGTTCTTCCCTTTGCAGAGTGTCATAGTCAGTATATTTATAGCCTGCATTTCTCACAAGTAAAATCTGTGCCTAAAGCAGTTCGCATTAAAATAAATAAATGTCTACACAATAACAATACATAATAGGACATGTGACGTTCCTGCAACGTAACACTAAAAAATTAATAATCAGCAGTTGAACCAGTGTTTCCCAAACTAGGATCTCCAGCTGTTGTTAGACTGCAGTTCCCATCATCCCTGAGCTAGGGATGATGGGAATTGTAGTCCAACAACAGCCAGAGACCCGAGTTTGAGAAACACAAAGTTTAAACAGTTCATTTGACATATACATACAGCTTACCAATAGGTCAAGTCCAAGTATCCCATTAAGAAATTCATTTAGAAAGGTCCAAGGGTTGGACGGTGGGGCAAGGCAGGTGAGAAAATCTATCCCCCGATTATCAACATGGAATCCCCAATGCCCAACTCAGGTGCAGATACTCTTGTGCATTTTTCTAATGCTGCACAAATGAAGCACATTTAAATTTAATAAAGTGGGCCTTCACACCTCCTGGTTATCTCAGTCCATGTAGGAACATTGGAAGCTGTCTTTCACTGAAGTCAGACAATTGGTCCGTCTAACTTAGGGCAGTCTGCACTGACTGGCAGTGCCTCTTCAGGCAGAGGAGATTCCAAGCCTGCCCTAGGGATTGAACCTGGGACCTTCTGCTTGGGAAGCAGATGCTTTTCCACTGAGCTACAGCCTTTCCTCAACACAGACAGGTATAATAATAATAATAATAATAATAATAATAATAATAATTTATTTATTATACCCCGCCCATCTGGCTGGGTCCCCCCAGCCACTCTGGGCGGCTTCCAACAAAACACTAAAATACAATAACCTATTAAACATTAAAAGCTTCCCTAAACAGGGCTGCCTTCAGATGTCTTCTAAAAGTTTGGTAGTTATTTTTCTCTTTGACATCTGGTGGGAGGGAGTTCCACGGGGCTGGTGCCACTACTGAGAAGGCCCTTTGCCTGGTTCCCTGTAACTTGGCTTCTCACAGTGAGGGAACCGCCAGAAGGCCCTTGGCGCTGGACCTCAGTGTCCGGGCAGAATGATGGAGATGTTCACCTCTTTCCCCCAGCTTCCCGCTCTTGGTGAATGGGATCTGCTTTAGCCTCGAGTATCTAACACCAGCATTCCCCCCTTTTGCTGCAGAGGGTCTTGCTGTTCCAAAATCTTAGGCCAGGCATAGGCAAACTCGGCCCTCCAGAAGTTTTGGGACTACAACTCCCATCATTCCTGACCACTGGTCCTGTTAGCTAGGGGTGATGGGAGTTGTAGTCCCAAAACATCTGGAGGGCTGAGTTTGCCTATGCTTGTCTTAGGCTCTTTCCTTCCCTCCCACCCCCAGTGGGTAGCAGAGAAAGAGGGGGGGTGGGGGACTTGCTCACAGCAGAGCCTGGTCTTTGTACAGTGTCTCCACTCCCCCTTTGAGTCAACAGGGAGTCTTTCCCCTTCAATTACGCAGGAACGTGACCCTGGCGAAGGACACAGAGGCCCCTTCATAGCCCTGGCACTGCGATGTATAAATAATCCCTGCATCCAATACACACAATCCGTAAAATTGCAGCAGCGGGCCAAATGGAACAATCCATCGGGGCCTTTAAATCAGTCATTGCCGCTCCTGTGGCAGCAAAGAGATTAAAGTTCACATAGAAAAGCCACACTGGGAGAGGCTTGGAAATGTAATATCGTTTTGGCATGACGGTAAATCTTCCGCCTTTGCGGAGAGCTTTTTGTGTGGATGACAAAGGGCTTCAGATACAGACACATACCACTTGCAATTATATATACATATATATTACATGCTCCTTTAGAGGTTTCCCAGCCAAGTTGCTAATCATACTCGCTCAGCTGCAGCATAACATTCACTCCCCTCCTGTTTGTTTTTTTTAAATAGAGAGATGTTTGCTGTTTCCCCATCCATATATCCCAGGCATAAGCAAACTCGGCCCTCCAGATGTTTTGAGACTACAATTCCCATCATCCCTGCCCACTGGTCCTGTTAGCTGGGGATGATGGGAGTTGTAGTCCCAAAACATCCAGAGGGCTGAGTTTGCCTATGCCTGATATATCCCTTCTCGGCCTAATAAATAACAACAGAAGAGTCCAGTGGCAGGATCAGACCAAGGGCCCATCCAGTCCAGCATCATCTTCCCACAGTGGCCAGCCAGGTGCCTCTTGGGAAGAAAGCCTGCAAGCAGGACTTGAGCGCAACAGCTCTCTCTCTCTCCCCCCCCCCATTTGCAGCCCCCAACAGCAGAGGCAGTTTCCTCTTCGTACAGCCAAGGAGATCATCTGGAAGCCTTTGGGAGTGGTTGCTCGAGGACATTTAAACAGCTGAATAGCTCAGTCGGTAGAACATAAGTCTCGTAGTCCCAGGGTTGGGGGTTTGAGCCCCAGGTTGGGCAAAAAGATCCCTGCATTGCAGGAGGTTGGACTGAATGATCCTCGTGGTCCCTTCCAACTCTACAATTTGAGGCGTTCTCAAAGTAAAGGAAGGATTGAACTCTGATTAATAAGAATACACACAGAGGCTCGAACCAGCAAGACTCTGGGAAGGGTGCGTATAATAATCTCTGTCTCTCTCCACCCCTCGGCCCATGTTCTTTTATTCACAAAAGAAATTTTACAGAGTGTTTGTAAGAACCAATCAGATTTCTTCTGAGCATTTCAACAAACCCCACGTGGGGAGAGAGTTAAACTACCAAAACTAATTAAGCACACATATTTCTGGGGTAAACAATACAGAACTACAAAGGAGTCCATTTGGCAACCCTGGAAGTGATAAACAAGCAATATACATGATAAGAAGGATGGCCAGGAAGACAGCGATCATTATCACCTTCAGGTGAGATCTGTTTCCTGGCCCTAAGATTAACATCCTAAGATTAACATATCAGAAAAACTACATCAAAGAAACTTGCCCACTCTCTTTATGGGCCAGGACCCTGCCTGGCTAAGCAACTGGGCTGTGTACGTGACTTGACAAGCAAGAGAAATGGGCAGTAGAGGAAATGGCCAGAGATGCAGAGGGTTGTGGGATTTGATCAAAAATTATTGTCAATGCATTAAACCCATTCAACACAATGCATTCATCGTGGACATAGTGGCTTGATGCATATTTTATAATTCCTCATAGTAACTGGATATTTGCATTCCTTCACAATTCTATGGTTTGTGTGTGTGTGTGTGTGTGTGATGGCGGATAGATTTCCAACCCTCCTGTCCCAACTTGCAAAAGTAGCCCAGACCACTCACAGGAGGTCTCTTTTTCTCACTGGGTTTGCATTCTGCAGGGGGCGATTCAATAGGACAGGATTATAAGGTGTCTGCTCCCTTGCTGCTGCGTGGAGATTTTTGAAATACAAAGTGGTATATAAGTGCCTTCAAATAATAATAAAAAATGAGATAGAAAGAGAGCGATTCCCTTCTCCGCCCCGCGGGTTAGCAACCAACCTCTCTGGCTTTCTGCAGGTGAACTTCAATGAGCCGCTGTCCATGCTGCAGAGACTGACAGAGGACCTCGAGTACCATGAACTGCTTGACAAAGCCGTCAAGTGTGAGAGCTCCATTGAGCAGATGTGCTTTGTGGCTGCTTTCTCCGTGTCTTCCTACTCGACGACAGTCCACCGGACGGCGAAGCCATTCAATCCGCTCCTGGGCGAGACCTATGAGCTGGACCGGCTAGATGAGCTGGGTTTTCGCTCTCTCTGCGAGCAGGTGAGGAAAAGGGGAGGGAAGCTGGTGTGCCATTGTGGGGTGGGCCCACGTGGGGCTTGGGCCACAGAGACCTCGGTTGACATCCTCTGCTTGACCGTAGGTGGGCCTCCCATTCTCTTCCAGCTCAGACCCAGATTACTCGCATCCGTTGTTTCATTTATTTGTTCCTTTTTAAATGTTCAGAACTTTATTGTATACTATGTACTATACTATAGAGACACGAGTGGCGCTGTGGGTTAAACCACAGAGCCTAGGACTTGCCGATCAGAAGGTCGGCAGTTTGAATCCCCGTGACGGGGTGAGCTCCCGTTGCTCGGTCCCTGCTCCTGCCAACCTAGCAGTTCGAAAGCACCTCAAAGTGCAAGTAGATAAATAGGTACCGCTCCGGCAGGAAGGTAAACGGCATTTCCGTGTGCTGCTGTGGTTCGCCAGAAGCGGCTTAGTCATGCTGGCCACATGACCCGGAAGCTGTACGCCGGCTCCCTCGGCCAATAAAGCGAGATGAGCGCCGCAACCCAGAGTCGGTCACGATTGGACCTAATGGTCAGGGGTCCCTTGTGTACTATACTATACATAGTATATGACGAGCTTAAAAAATGTTTAAGTATAACTTTATAAAAAATACAGAAGCTTTTCTACTAGGGATAACGGACGCAGGTATAGCAAGAGAAGATCAGAATATATTCCTCTATGCCACAGGAGCGGCAAGGATCCTAATTGCTAAAAACTGGAAAAAAGAAATTGTGCCAACAAAAATGGAATGGCAAGACAAACTGTTAGAGTATATTGAACTGGCTAGATTAACAGAAGCAATTAGAGACCACACTAGACAAGAATTTCAAAAAGCATGGGGAAAATGCAGAGAATACTTCACAAAACATGCCCTAAAATTCATACCTGGACTTGTTTCGATTAATGTCTGCAGGAGACTTTGTGGATATTTAAGTTATAATTAGAAAATTTTTAATAATTATTCATAAAGGAAACAGCTTATAAGAAGTAAATAAGGATGCCAGAAACAGGATAAAGGAAGTCTTTTATTTGGTTGTTTGTATTGTTGTAGATTATGCTTGTAGTTTGTTATGTTCGTGTCTGATGGGGGTGGATTTCTGTGTTGAGGGGGTGGGGGATTTGTGTTATGTTCTAAATAAAATTTCCAATAAAAATTTATAGAAAGAAGGAAAAAAAGAACTTTATTGTATTAGTAAAATAGCAATCCAGTAAGAAATAGAAAAGGGAAAAGGAAGGAAGGAAAACTTTACAGAGCAAAAAAACTGGGTTCACAGCCATTATCTCATAATACATTTAGTGTTTACAGCAGGCCTGCAACTTAACGCTTATCTTTCTTACGCAACTGCAACTTTAGATGGATCGTGAAGAAAGAAATAGAAAGGGAGCAGGAGACTGTTGGATACTGAGATCTTGTGGGGCCGTCCACAGGATTTTCCTTTGTGGAAACAGCTTTTGAAGCCCGGTACCTTGCTTGCAGGGCTCTGGGACGGTTGCACAAGATGTCACAGGGCTGTCTGCGATCTCGGATGGCAGGGGTGGTTCCAGGGATCCTTCTGACTTTGTGCAATTTTGACTTTGTGCACTGACCCCTGGAACATAACCCTTGCACAAGTTGTGGGCCTGCAGAACTGTTTTGCCAACCACTTAGACCTAACATCATTGGGGTTTGTTTCTCCTTGGGTCTCCCCTCACTCCAGGTGAGTCATCACCCTCCGGCCGCAGCCCATCATGTCTATTCCAAGCGAGGCTGGACACTGTGGCAGGAAATCACCATTGCCAGCAAGTTCCGAGGCAAATACCTCTCCATCATGCCGCTGGGTAAGCACTGTGCTCCCCAGGTAGAATGTTCTGTGTCCTCAGCAGCTAATCATTCCTTGGCAGAGATCATAGTATCATAGGGTGGGGAGGGACCCTGAGGATCATCTAGTCCAAGCTTCCTCAAACTCGGCCCTCCAGATGTTTTTTTGATACTACAATTCCCATCATCCCTGACCACTGGTCCTGCTAGCTAGGGATCATGGGAGTTGTAGGCCAAAAACACCTGGAAGGCTGAGTTTGAGGAAGCCTAGTCCAACCCCCTGCAATGCAGGAATATACCGCTGTCCCTTACGGGGATTGTACCTTCAACCTTGGCGTTATCCGCTGTTGTTGGGGAATTCCTTGTATCTCTAAGGCAGGGTTTCCCGAACTGTTTTTGGACTACAACTTCCATCACCCCTAGCTAGCAGGACCAGTGGTCAGGGATGGTGGGAATTGTAGTCCAAAAAAAAACTAGAGACCCAAGTTTGGGAAACCCTGAACTAAGAGATCTCCTCCTCTATTTAAGAGCACCAAATCAATATATATATTGCCAACAACTGACTGAATCCCATATGAAGATAGTGACAGTCTGGCAGTGCCCTTAGACTGCCTTGAGGTTCTCCAAAGGCCTTTCCATGTTCATGGCAGGCAGCAATTCAGCAGGTCATGGAACTGATTCTAAACCTGACAGAGGAGTTGACAACCTCAGCAGTGGGAGTTGGCTGGTAGAGGAAGGGATGCTCTGAGCCGTCTCCAGGTGCTGCATCCTCTCCTTCTAATGGTCCCAGCGATGGCTGCTAGAATCTTTGAGAAAGTGCAGAAAGACCCCTTTCTAGATTGGCTTGTGCTGTCATGTCAGAGTTGGAACCTGTGGGGAAGGCCCTGTGCACAGGGATGGAGCCTTTGCAATGCATGTAGAAGGTCCCAGGTTCAGGCCCTGGCATCTCCAGGTAGGGCTGGGAATGTCCTGCCAGAAACCCTGGGAAACAGCTGCCAATCAGTGGGTCCACAGATGTTGTTGGGACTTTTTTAAATTGCCAAAGTCCAACTCCCCACCCCAGGAAGTGTAAATCTGGATCAAATTGGGGATAGGTGGGTGGGCTGGCATTTTGATGCCAACCATGTTGTGTGGGCCCTGCCCCAAAAATGTGCCTGCGTGAGGATCCTATAATAAACACCCTTCCAGAAGCCCCCTTTGTTATGTGAATCCTGCTGCCTAGGCATGATGGAATATTTAATCCATCTCCATGGTGGGCAGTGAGCAAGCACACGATGTTCATCAGAAATCCCACCCCTTAATGAGAGGCCTTTGAAGAGCCTGTTGCCTGGATTAGATCAGAAGTCCATCTAGCCCAGCATCCTGTTCCCACTGTGGCCCGTGGGGCAAGCAGGACCTAGAAGCAAGAGGGTCTCTTTCCTTCCCTGCAGGTTACATCCACCTGGAATTCCACTCCAGCGGCAACCACTACGTCTGGCAGAAGGTGACCTCCACCGTTCACAACATCATCGTGGGCAAGCTCTGGATCGACCAGGTCAGCTGAGCAAGAACTCCCCTAGCGGTCACTGTGGCGATCACACAGGGTCCCCAGACATTTCAAAGTCTATTGATCCCTGTGCCACCACTTTATTTCTTGCTGCCACCACCCAGGCCCTACCTGGTACAATACTGAGTCCAGTCAGTTTATTGGAACATAAACTTCTGTTTATTTATTGCAGTTTAACAAGCGTGTGGTTACATAAACGGTATCCGTCCAATACAATCATGGGGTGCCTATCCAGACCTATAACTTCCACTACCTGCTTTCACTCACTAAACTACCTCTCAGATACAGTGGTACCTCAGGTTACATACGTTTCAGGTTACATACTTGTCAGGTTACATACGCTTCAAGTTACAGACTCTGCTAACCCAGAAATAGTGCTTCAGGTTAAGAACTTTGCTTCAGGATGAGAACAGAAATTGTGCTCCGGCGGTGCAGTGGCAGCAGGAGGCCCCATTAGCTAAAGTGGTGCTTCAGGTTAAGAACAGTTTCAGGTTAAGTACGGACCTCCAGAACGAATTAAGTACTTAACCTGAGGTACCACTGTATTTACTTGTCTTCCTAGCCCCTAACTGTTCCTGACTCAGTTTATTTCTCTACACTAACTCAACCTACCCACAGACTCTATACCAGTTCACTCCCACTCCAACCAACCACCCAACTCCCAACGAACTCTCCCTTCGCCCCTCCCAGAGCTGGTTTTATAGTCCCTCTGACTCCACCCCCTGGGTTCTGATTGGGTAACCTCCAGCACTCTCATATGTTAACGGCACAGTCACGGGTAGTGGGAATTAATGGAAGAACACAAGAAGAGCCCGCTGGATCAAGCCAATGGTCCCTTTGGTCCAGCATCCTGTTCTCACAGTGACCAACTGGATGCCCCAATGGGCAGGATTTGAGCACAAGAGCTTTCTCCCCTCCTGTGGTTTCCAGCAACTGTCAGCCAGGAGCACTGCTGCCTTCAGCATAGCCATTGTGGCTAGTACCCACTTCTCTTCCAGGAATTGGCCCAGTCCTCTTTGAAAGCCATCCAACCTGGTGGCGATCCCTGGTGCCTCCCTGCAGGAGTCAGTTCCATAGTTTTAACTATGTACTGCACCTAGAATGGAGCCCATATTAGGGAGAGCAGGTGGACCTCCTTATACATTGCTGAAGGCTTCCTGTGAGCCTTCTCACACATTGTGCATTCATGTGCTCCCCTGAAGCAGTGAAAGAAGCAGCGCACATTTGCAGGTGAGCGACAGAACAGGTACGCTCTTTGGCAAGCTGAGATAAGGCACGGTGACTCCCTTCCGACTTCACCCTCGATGGCAAGCCCAGACTCGCTGCCACCAAATGTGTGAAATGGCCCAATAGACTTCCCATCCCGCAAGACAAATATTTGTTACATCTGAGTAATTGGCCTCTCTTACTTCTAATTAGGAATGATTAAATATTTGCGGAAACAACCCTGTTGCAAGTTGATATATTATTGCTTTTAACCTAATAGGTTTTACATGCACATCCCTGCGTTTTAAACAGCTGCATTCAATCTTATTTTGGCACGTGTTTGGCGTTGCTTAAAAAAGGCATGATTTAAAGCCCTTTTGTGGTTTAGAGTAACGCACATGCTTTCAAGATACGCAGAGGTTACCCCCATATTATTTTGAGAGTCGAGAAATCTCTCCTGCATTGCTGGTGGGGTAGATATGGAAGAAATGTAGAACTAATCTCTTTGCATTTTCTTCCCTCCTCTCTCTCTCTTTTCTCCTAGTCTGGTGACATAGAAATCATCAACTACAAATCAAAAGATAAATGCCAACTGAAATTCACTCCCTACAGCTATTTCTCCAGAGATGTCCCCCGAAAGGTAGGCATCCCTATCCCCCCCACCCCGAGAGATGCAGGGCTACTCTTCCTTTATACTGGGGGTGACTAACCTGTAGCCTTCTAGAAGTTCTTGGACTCCAACTCCCACCATTCCCTGACCCCTGGCTGTCCTGGTTGGGGATTATGGGAGTTGGACCCCCAGCAGCATCTCACAAGCCTCAGGAAAGGACTTGGAACATCCACACATTGCATGGTGACGGCAGAATGTATGGACAATTGCTTTGTCTGAAAAACAGACAAAAAGGGGTGCATGTTCTGAACAGCACATGTGACTTCACTGAAATACGGTGCCCTTTTATAAGATTCTCAAATAACGTTTCAATGACCGGCACCCACCGAATTGACAAACAAGTTTATGGCAAGACCTGATGAACTGGGAGAGAGGGAGGGGAACTTTTATGTTCAGTTTGTTGAAAATAAAATAAAATAAATAATATAATATAATATAATAAATAAAAAATAAATAAATAAATAAAATATATAAAAAGTTCTATTTTTAAAAGAAAACAGAAAACCAGAGAGCATAAGTTAGTTGAAACAGGGGTGGCCAACATGGTGCCTTCTGGGTGTTGTGTTGGACTATAACTCCCATCATCCCTGACCACTGGCCCCACGCTGTTGGGATTTGATGGGAGTTGTAGTTCAGCAACATTTCGTGGGCACCACATAATGTCTGAACAAAAGCATATACATGTATTACAATAATAAAATTGAATCATCCATTTTATAATTGCAATGGTCATTTCATGGCCAAAGACCCATCTAGTCCAAGATACCCACAGGCTTCACCCCTGTAAAGTCCTTTATGGTCACCATCAGTCTTTTCTCCATATGTAACCAGAGTCCGTTGGACAGTGCTAAGTGCTAGCAGAATAGCTAAATTGCAGCTAGGATGCCAAATCCTGTGCAATACCTACTCTCTTCTTGAAATTAAAACAATGTCCAAGCACCTGTTGATCTGTTCAAAAGCTTTTACAGTGGTAGCTTGGTTGTCAAACTTAATCCGTTCCAGGAGTCCATTCAACTCCCGGAACCATTCGGAAACCAAGGCGCAGCTTCCGATTAGCTGCAGGAGCTTCCTGTGCCCAATTGGAAGCCGTGGAAGATGTTTGTCTTCCGAAAAACGTTTGCAAACTGGAACATTCACTTCCAGGTTTGCAGCGTTCCGGAACCTATTTGTTTGGGAGCCAATCCGTTCAACAACCAAGGTACCACTGTACTTGCAGAACATAGAGCTAAAGAAGAATATATGCAAATTATTTACATTCACATGCTTATGCATTGGTTTTTCTCGGTTGAAGATTACAGCTTCTTCCTTAAAGATTCAAACAAGCTGTGTCTTTTTCACTTTCCAATACTTGCCCTCAGCTTTAAGTCCATTACCCAGCTAGGCCATGCCTAGTTCCACCTGAGAGGTTTCCGCTTTCTCCTTCCGGCAGACTTCTCCTCACTGCTTCTTTGGAAGAAGTACTTCTGTACCTCTTTCTGTCACATACGTTCACACTGAAACATCATCACTCATCTCCCCTATTGCATTTAGAGAGAGAGTTATCAGATACTGTCTCTTCTTCAGTGTTCAGGGAGACGCAGCAGTTACAGTCAAGTTACTCACAAAACAAAATGGAGAATGTAATAGGATGCTGCCCATGTGGCCAAAATTTGCCAATCACACGAGAGTTACTGGGGAATGTTCCAAAATCACACACATAGCAATGATATTCAAGCATTCCCAGTTTCGGTAAATTAAATCACTATACTTGGCAATAAAAACGTAAGAGTCCAATTGCCCGTCTAGTCCAGCTTCTTCACAGTGGGCAACCAGATCCCCTCATGGGAAGCCCTGACATGAATTCTACTCAATATTGATCCAGAGCAGATTCCAAAGTATAGTTAGCAGAGTAAACATGTTGCAGGATTCCCAAAAAATAAGACCAGAGGCAATTAATATTTCATCCAGCAGAGCTTTACTGCTACTGAAGGCAAATGAGCATAATGGTCATATATCCAGCATATTCAGGATTGGCACTGTCCATAAGAAATCCAGTTGCGGCGGACTTAACTTAAACTTACAATAACTTACAATAAGATTAAAACCTTAACACTAAGCATACTATGTACAGAACACCACATAGTTGGAAAGAAAGATAGAAAAGAATGAAACTCAGGCTCCTTCTGGCCGTATTATTATTATAGTCAGTATGACCTTGACAGAAAGAGATAACAGAACCAGTTTAAGCCAGCTGTATTCAGCTTCTCTGAAGGAATAACCCAAACATCACAAACCTGCTTGTTTCTTTCACATAGAGAGGCTTCCAAAAGCCTCTTGAATTAATTAGAATAGGAACAATCTCTACACGTCAGATCAATACTTTCTGTACCAAGAAATGCAAACTGACAAGCCCCACCAGCAGGATGTGGGCCTAAGAGCACTCTCACTCTAAAAAAAGCCTTCTTCAACCCAGTGCCCTCCAGATGTTGCTGGATTCTAACATTAATCAGCCCTAGCCAGCTTGTCTAATGGTCAGGGATGAAGGAAGTTGTGCTTTTAAACATCAGGAGGGAACCAAGTTGAGGAAGGCTGCTCTAGGCCGTGAGCTGGGTGGGACGCGGCTGCTGGCGGACATTGCGTCTCTACGGAGGGACTGTGAATCCTCAATGTTCCTTCCTAGGTGACAGGCCTAGTCATGGATGCGGAGGGCACAAGTCACTATGTCATGTCCGGCACATGGGACGAGAAGATGGAGTGCTCCAAAATCGTGCAGAGCAGCCAAGGAAACGGCAGCTCAGAGGGCAAGGTGCCCAAAACCGTCTACCAGACGCTGTCCCCCAAGGTCCTGTGGCAGAAATACCCTCTTCCGTGAGTCTGCCCAACAGGGCTCGGGTGCCGCGGGTGTCGCCAAACCCACATGCCTGCATATTTTAGGGGCTGGTGTAAGAATCACGTTTCCGTGGCTAATGGTCCTGACAAACAGCAAACAATCTTGTCTCCAGATGTTTGCCTCTCCAGATGTTGCCAAACAGCATCTCCCATCAGCCCCTGCAACCAATGGCCAGGGATGATGGGAGTTGTAGTTTGGCAACACCTGGAGGACCCCAGGCTACCTATTATGCTGAGTCAGACCATTAGTCTTGTCTCTGTCGCTGCTTCCTAATCTGGCTGATGGTGGTTCTGGGAGGTCGCTGGTAGAGGTCATCCTTTTCAAGCACAGAGACCCAGAATTGAACCCTGGACCTGCTTACGTTCTGCCGCTGCAGTGCAGGGGGAGGGAGGGTGTAACTGGCTGCAGAAATCCAAATGGCAGCCTGCCTGCCCTCATTTTAACTTTCCAAAGTAGCATTTATATCCCACCTCTCCTCCGAAGAGTTGCAAGGCGGTGTGCCTGGGTTTTCCTCTCCATGTTTTTTCCCTCACAACAACCTTGCGAGGTAGGCACCCTTTTTATAATTCCCCAAGAGTTCTGTGGCAGCCCCTGTGGAATTCCTTCCTGGCGAGAGGTGCTCCTTGCACATTACAGAGCTTTTGTCATAAGCTGAAAACCTCTTTATCCTGACCTTTGACACATACACACAAAGAATATATAGGTAAAGGCAAAGGGACCCCTGACCATTAGGTCCAGTCGTGGTCGACTCTGGGGTTGCGGCGCTCATCTCACTTTACTGGCCGAGGGAGCCGGCGTACAGCTTCCGGGTCATGTGGCCAGCAGGACTAAGCCGCTTCTGGCGAACCAGAGCAGTGCACAGAAACGCCGTTTACCTTCCCGCCGAAGCGGTACCTATTTATCTACTTGCACTGGTGTGCTTTCAAACTGCTAGATTGGCAGGAGCAGGGACCGAGCAATGGGAGCTCACCCCGTCGCAGGGATTCAAACCGCCGACCTTCTGATCGGCAAATCCTAGGCTCTGTGGTTTAACCCACAGTGCCACCTGCGTCCCCCAAAGAATATATGCCCATCCTATTTGTCTGATTGCAAATTGTTTTAGCCAATTCAAAATATTGTATTTTTATAATGTTGTCACTCTCCCACTTAGAGCTCATGGCGAAGGGCCAGTGAGAAAACCAGGAAATATTAGTAAGCAGCTGTACAGGCCAAGAGGCAGTAACTGGCCCAAGGTCACCTGCCAGAGAGCTTTGTGGTTTAGTGTGTGTTTGAACCCTTGTCTCTCGTGGCCTAAGTCCCACACCCTAAGGTACTCTAGTCACTGTTATTATTTACTAAGTATATTAGGTGGGGTTTTTGCCATGGCCACTCAAAACAACTTAAGAGTATTTTAAGCAGTATAAAAATAAAAAACCAAACATACAAACATGAAAACCAGCTTTAAAAAAATCTAAAATATAATCTTGTTTTTTTGCTTTTAACTACATTAAAGCATCTCACCTGTGCAAAAATGCCATAGATAATTAAAAGCCAAGACCTGGTGAAAAGAGAATGCTTTTGTCTGGTGCCTAAGGATATGGAGCAGTGGCGCCCGGCGAGCCTCCCTGGGGAGAGCATTCCCAGAAGCAGGAAGCCACATTGAAACGGCCCTTTTTTGGGTTTCCACACTATGCTCATAACTACATTGGCATGATTGCGCACCACTGGGGCCTGATCCCTTGTGAAGTTCTTTCTGTGTCAGTTGAAGTGCAGCTGCATGTGATCAGTTAATCACGTGCAAAAATGCCACCGCATGTTTTGATTTTATTTATTTATTTATTTATTTATTGAATTTATATACCGCCCTGTACCTGGAGGTCTCAGGGCGGTTCACAGAAAAGAACACAATATATAAAATAAAAACAAAAACAATACCCCCCTCCCCCGCAAAAAAGAGTCACATTTTTAAAATGGCATAGGGTGTCAAACAGATCAACCAAAGGCCTGGTTAAAAAGGAATGTGTTTGCCTGGCGCCTAAAGGTGTATAACGAAGGCGCCAGGCGCACTTCCCTGGGAAGAGCATTCCACAGACGGGGAGCCACTACAGAGAAGGCCCCGTTCTCGTGTTGCCACCCTCTGGATCTCTTGAGGAGGAGGCACACGAAGAAGGGCCTCAGAATATGATCTCAGGGTAGGTTCATAAGGAAAGAGGCGGTCCTTGAGGTATTGCGGTCCTGAGCCGTTTAAGGCTTTATAGGTCAAAACCAGCACTTTGAATTGGGTCCGGAAACTAATCGGTAGCCAGTGCAGTCGGACCAGGATCGGTGTAATATGCTCAATCCGTCTTGAGCAACCATCTTGCTGAGTTCTGCACTAGCTGAAGTTTCTGAACCGTCTTCAGAGGCAGCCCTACGCATAACGCATTGCAGTAATCTAACTTTGAAGTTACCAGAGCATAGACAACAGTAGTTTGGCTATCCCTGTTATGATCTTAGCCGTGGGAAGGGGACTTCAGATGGCCAAACACCTAAGCCCGTTCATGCAATGGACACACGCTCTTTCTTAAACCGCCCATGGGTCTTCCTCCTGCAGGGAGAACGCTGAAAACATGTACTTCTTCTCCAACCTGGCTTTGACGCTGAACGAGCCCGAGGAGAGGATAGCCCCCACGGACAGCCGCCAGAGGCCTGACCAGCGGCTCATGGAGAATGGCAAGTGGGACGAAGCCAATGCAGAGAAGCAGCGGCTGGAAGAGAAACAGCGGGCCGTGCGGCGCAAGCGGGAGGCAGAGGCGGCAGAGGCCCTGGAGGAAGGTACGGGTCACTGGCCACTCTGGGCGGCTTCCAATCAAGTGTTAAAAAGAATATAGCATTAAATATTAAAAACTTCCCTAAACAGGGCTGCCTTCAGATGTCTTTTAAAAAGAAGATAGCTGCTTATTTCCTTCACATCTGAAGGGAGGGCGTTCCACAGGGCGGGCGCCACTACTGAGAAGGCCCTCTGTCTGGTTCCCTGTAACCTCACTTCTCATAATGAGGGAACCGCCAGAAGGCCCTTGGCGCTGGATCTCAGTGTCTGGGCTGAACGATGAGGGTGGAGATGCTCCTTCAGGTATATAGGACCGAGGCCGTTTAGGGCTTTAAAGGTCAGCACCAACACTTTGAATTGTGCTTGGAAACATACTGGGAGCCAATGTAGGTTTTTCAGGACCACTGTTATGTGGTCTCAGTGGCTGCTTCCAGTCACCAGCCGCATTCTGGATTTGCTGTAGTTTCTGGGTCACTTTCAAAGGTAGCTCCACATAGAGGGCACTGCAGTAGTCCAAGCGGGAGATAACCAGAGCATGCACCCCTCTGGCAAAACAGTGCACAGGCAAATTTGTTGGACTACAAGTCCCATCGGCCTCAGCCATGCATCAGCCGGTCATTCTGGCCAGGGCTGATGGCAGCTGGTAATCCAAAACATTTGGAGGGCACCAGGTTGGTATTAATGGAAGACCCACATAGCAACCAGCCGTGGAAAAAATGGGCCACACATATAGAAAGGAATTGAGGAACCCAAGGATTAGATTGCATCACAAGTCAATGGCCCCGAGAATGGAGCATGTGGTTTGAGTCTTCATCAAGGGTTGACCTGTCTGTTGCCTCATCATCCTGTGTTGTGTCATCATCCTGTGAAGCCCTTTAGAATCCTAGTGCATTCTTGTGGCAAATGGGGTACAGCTCAGTGCCAATGAAGGTGATCCTTGGAAGATGCAGGACAGATAAAAAAGAAAGTCACCCTTTAAGCAGCGCATAGTTGAAACTATGAAACTCCCTCCCACAGGAGGCAGGGCTGGCCCCTAACGTGGGTGCCTTTAAAAGAGGATTGGACAAATTCATGGAGGGAGGGGGCTGTTGGTGGCTCCTAGCCTGTGCGTTTTTTCTTTAAAAAATGTTTAGGGCTACTCTCATTTTGACTCAAGAAAATCGCCCTTTTATAGTTCAAATCAGGAAAAATAAATACAGTAAACGGACAAAAGTACAGAGAACATGCATTACCTCATATTACACAGCCGACAGCTCACAGTAACTTCCACATTGGCATGAGATTGTGTGCACTAACATCTTCCCGGTTCCTCTGCTTGCTGTTGGTGTCCGTTGCCAGATATCCTTTCAAAAACCATGAATTTTCATACACTGAAGGCTTAAACAAAGGGGAGGACCTACCAATTATAGAAACGTTAAGTAGTTGGCTACAGTGTCTAAATGCATTCCACACTGCTTCACACATTAAACGCCCGCTTCTGTCCGAGACTCAGGAAACACCATGACAGAAAATGAGGCCGCCATCGGGGGTAGCAACGGAACTGGCGATTCACTGTGCTAGAGAAGAAACTAAAACTGTTATTTTTTTTAGTATCTTCTCCCGTTAGATTCACATGAAGCCGCTGGGAGAGATCATCAGGGGGTTTGGACTGGGTGTCCATCAATATGCAGATGATACCCAGCTCTACCTCTCTTTTAAATCAGAACCAGTGAAGGCAGTGAAGGTCCTGTGTGAGTGGAGGATGGATGGCGGCTAATGGATTGAAGTTGAATCCTGACAAGACAGAAGTACTGTTTTTGGGAGACAGGGGGCGGGCTCGTGTGGAGGACTCCCTGGTCCTGAATAGGGTAACTGTGCCCCTGAAAGACCAGGTGTGCAGCCTGGGAGTCATTTTGGACTCACAGCTGTCCATGGTGGCGCAGGTCAATTCTGTATCCAGGGCAGCTGTCTACCAACTCCACCTGGTACGCAGGCTGAGACCCTACCTGCCCGCGGACTGTCTCGCCAGAGTGGTGCATGCTCTAGTTATCTCCCGCTTGGACTACTGCAATGCGCTCTACGTGGGGCTACCTTTGAAGGTGACTCGGAAACTACAACTAATCCAGAATGCAGCAGCTAGACTGGTGACTGGGGGCGGCCGCCGAGACAACACCGGTCTTGAAAGACCTACATTGGCTCCCAGTACGTTTCCGAGCACAATTCAAAGTGCTGGTGTTGACCTTTAAAGCCCTAAACGGCCTCGGCCCAGTATACCTGAAGGAGCGTCTCCACCCCCATCGTTCTGCCCGGACGCTGAGGTCCAGCGCCGAGGGCCTTCTGGCGGTTCCCTCACTGCGTGAAGCAAAGCTACAGGGAACCAGACAGAGGGCCTTCTCGGTAGCGGCGCCCGCCCTGTGGAACGCCCTCCCATCAGATGTCAAAGCGATAAATAACTACCTGACATTCAGAAGACATCTTAAGGCAGCCCTGTTCAGGGAAGTTTTTAATCTGTGATATTTTATTGTATCTTTGGTTTCTATGGAAGCTGCCCAGAGTGGCTGGGGAAACCCAGCCAGATGGGCGGGGTACAAATAATAAATTATTATTATTATTATATTATTATGGACGTCCTCTGCCCCCACAGATGGAGGCAGCGATGCTTCTGAATGCCAGTTGCTGGAGACCATAAGAAGGGGAAATGTGCTCTGGTCCTGGCTTCCCACCGGCACCTGGTTGGCCACTGCGAGAACAGGACTCTTCTTACGTAAATTCCAAGACCGCTGTGTTAACCTCTTCCTTCTCTTTACAGGCAAGGACTACAGAGGCTACAGCCCGCTGTGGTTTGAGCGGAAGGTCGACCCGGTCACCGGGGAGCTGATGTGCGTTTACAAAGGTGGATACTGGGAAGCGAAGGAGCAGCAGCAATGGAGTGCATGCCCCAATATATTCTGAGCGGCTTCTGAGCCGGACTGGCGTCTCCCGGGGCGGAAGGGGAGCCTCCCTCCTCATCCTGCCCACGGGAAAGAAGAGCTGGTAGCAGAAGCACTCCAGGCAACGTCCTGCTGGTCAACACACACTTCAAAGAAACACACAAGAGTTTAAATAAATGCAGATTTTTTAAAAAAAGAAAAGAGAAAAACTGCAAGACGAAAACCAAACAGGGAATTCCAAACCTATTTTTATGCACTAATGAAATGGCATTTGGGGGTGTTTTTGTTTTTGGGTTTAAGTGACTTTTTAAAGCTACCAATTAGGATTGAGATATTTTTTTCTTTTCTTTTCTTTTTAAGCCTGGCCTATTTATTGCTGCATCAGGAGATGCAGCCTCCTTACATATTTTGAGCTTCCGGTTCTCTTAACCGAAGCTCTGACATTTCCAAAGATGCACGTATTTGTGGGGGAATGATGTATGTTTGATTCTTTTTTCTTTCTTTCTCATTTGTGCGCTGGGGACTTGAAATATCTTTTATATATAAAATAGTATACGTATAATTCAGGTTCTTTTTCTCTAGATGCAGCAACTCCCTAAGCCACGTCCCAGATGGGTCCTAAATTCTAGGGAGAAAGTGCGGTGTCCGGGGGTGTGGGGGGGGGGAGTTAACAAGCCAATAACTTTCCCCCACCCCATTTTGAGTTTTGCATCTTTGGAGAAGGGTTGGAGGAGCGTTCTGACAACTGTGGTTTAAGTTCCCTCCCATGCTTTTTGGAGTACTTGGATCCAGTATCGGTCAACAGGCAATATTTTTGTTACTTTGTCTTTAAAAATCAAGTCTCTGGGCGGTTTTGTGTTTTGGGGCGTGTATGGCCATTTAATTTTGGTTCTGTAATCACTCCCTTGGTAGAGAAGTTCCCCCTTTTGCCAGCTGGTTGTTCTTTTCCGAAAGGACTTTCCCGGTGCGGCTAGGCTTGGGGAGAGCTGGAGATGAACCCTGGCACGCCTCGATGCCATCTTGCTAGTTCCTACCCCCCCCCCTCACTTTGAGATTACGGCACAGGAGCTGGGTGCAAGCCCAGGCAGGGTGGAACTGAAAGCTCCCCCACACTCTATTTGGTTAGAAACAGCACCCTCCTTCTCCATCACACACCCACAAGGCTGCTCATTCACACAGCCAGCAGTCACAACAAACTGCCGAGCCCCTGGCGCCGTGGATCAATGTGACGCCGGTGGCGAGGCGCATCTGGGCAGCACTCTCTCCATGCGCAAACGTGAGACACCTCTGTGGACCTCGCTGGCGCCATCTTTGTAGGAAGCACACATGGACACTCCCTCTCCTTGCTTGCTGTCCTCTTCATCAGAGGCCTGGTGACTCTGGAGGATGCAGAGAGCGGAGCTGGCGAAGATGCCAGGGGGCACTGCCCTCTGCTGCAGTCAAGGGGAAAGTGGGTTTTCCAAGGACAAACACCTTCATCCCAGATGCCTCACAAGTAGCAAAATGTGCTCTCTCTGTCTTTCTCAGAGCAACCCATTCTCTCTCCTGCCCCCGTTTGTCATTCAAGGCTAGCCACTGAGATGCCGACAAACCCACATTCTCTGAAATCGCAGAGGCATTGATACCGTTTTGCCAGCTGTTCTTAAATTGCCCGACTGACCACCTTTCTCCCCTGACCAGAACTTGCACAAGCAGGCTCTAGTTTCAGCCCTAGTTCTGGGGGGTTTTTTGGGGGGGTGTTCCAGGGAAGTTCTGCCGGCACCTGGATTTGCACGTCCCTCTTTCAGACTGGCTGGTTTGCCGATGCTGAAGGCCTGGCTGCCTGGTGTTTCCCTGTGAAAGAATGGTGCTTGGGACAAATGTCCCTTACGTCCAATGGGCCGGGCGGCTCTTTTTGAGAACTGAACAGGGTCCATAAGGCCTTTTGCCTTTGGAAAATAACAGAGCCGCCCGGTCCTCTGGCTCACAAAATCACATCTTGACAGATGCAGGAACCAGCGGATTTCTTGTGGCCAGGCACATTTTTGCGGGGCGGCGGGGAGAAAACGAGCAATAACGAACTTCAGGGCTTCACTCTCTGCCCCCAGATTGCAAAGGAGAGGTCTTGAGTCAGGTTATCCCCCAGAGGGATTTCCAAAAACCCTTTCCCTCACAGCACCTGTAGGAACTGATATTTACTCTCTGCGTTTCCAAGTATATATGTATATACATGCACACACACCTTTGCACAGTATATTTATATATTTATACAAATCTACATAACCTGTGCAAATACACACACACACACACAAACACGCATATACACACCGTACAATGTAACTGTAGTGACTGAACATCAGTATGCCAACAGCTGATTTCAGTGTGCTCTTTAATCTTAATTATTTATTTGCTTCTAATTTATATATATTATATATATAAAATATATATATAAAATTATTTTTGTTTAAATTTATATGGTACATAAAGTAGGGGGGGATAATAATGAAGACGGGTGTGTGCCTCTGTCTGAATTTTCTTTTTATAGTGCAAATTACATGTACGGTAAATCTTGATTCCTCTTTTCAGGGTAGGTGTCCTCTGTCTCTCTTTTCTTAACGAGAAAAATAAAAGTGTCGAGGTTAGAGGCACCGTCCATGCTGAGCTCCTGTTCATTTCGACGGCTTGCACAGGAGAGCGGTCTCCAGGATTGTGCCCCCAGACCATTGATTTATACACACAGAGAGGAGATAAGGGTCTTGCCTTGCTAACATTTGCTCCAAAGCCGCAGGCTGAATAGATTCAGCAGGCCAGGTGTGCGCCGGCTTCCTCTTGAGCAAGCCCGTTTCTCTCAGGGGGTGTTTAAAAGGAGATGCTCCCGGTAGATAATGCTTCCAAGGGTCCCGATTGCTCGGCCTTCCCCAAACCTGTGCGCTTCCAGATGTTTTGAACTACTGCTGGGGAAGGCTGATCCAGTGTAGGGAAGCTTTGGCCCTCCAGATGTTGCTGAAATGCAATTCCCATCGTCCCCAGCCATGGGCCATGCTTGCTGGATCCGATGGGAGTTTGTCTGGGAAGCCAAAGGTTCCCCCGCACCCAAATCTAGAAGAAGAAACTATCCCTTTCTAAAGAAAGCAACACATTTCCTGTTCCTGAAAATTCCCATCGAGCCAAAACAGTAGCTTTTGATGCAGCGTTCCTCCTGTGTTTTACTTGAAAAAAATTACTCAAGGTACTACCACTTTTGGGGTGCTTCTTTTGGATTTGTTTCCCCTCACTCCTGTACCCTGGCGGGGGGTGGGAATGTAAATGTGTGCGTCTGAATTTTTATTTCTTTTTTTAAAAGTCAAAACCTGCTGCAGCAGTGTTGCCAAAGCCCACCACGAACTGCTATATATATAGATAACGTCTCGATCGAGTCAGCATTATGTCTTCGATAAGGGTAGTTTTTCTTAGGTAACAACAATATGCTGCAAAACTCGTGGGCAGAAGCGAAAGAAGTTCGATGCCGTTCTTGAAAATCTGGTGTGTGTGTGTGTGTGTGTGCGTGTAGAACAGTTGTACTCCAAATGAATTGAGAGAGGGGTTTAATTTGGATAAAGGATTTCTTTCAAACACACTTTTTGAAAATTGACTTTCCCCTGTTCATATATACAGCCTAGCGTGGAGGCAGTTCTGTGAGCTCTGAGGCTGCAAACGGGTGTTGTTTTTCCAGAATCGAAAGGGGAAGCGACAGAGCCGTTGTTGCACCAACGTGGGCACAGAAACCATTTTTTGTTGTTGCATCCATTACCTGTACAAGTATGGCATGGTTTGTTTTTAATGCTTGAAAAACCCACCAACCTATTTGGCCTGAAGTCACAGTGGGACAGGAAAGGATATCTCCCTCCAGGGATTACGTTTCTTCACCTTTTACTTTCTGCAGCAGGAGACAGTTCTGCAATGTGGGGGTCTCGTTTTTTTCTCTTTCCAGACAGCTGATGCACCATCTTCAGAAATGGGAATGGCTTGCTGGAGAATTAAAACAGGTCCGTTGCATTGTGAGGAGCTGCTCTCCAATAGTTGAGGACGATGGGTGTTTGGCTTTTTGCCAGACTGATTCTTTCCCCTGCCACAAAGTGTAGCATTTTCCCAGAACTTCCGAGACAACGTGATCTAGTCTGCTGGACCGCCTCAGATGTGATTATTCTGCACAAGCTTTTCCTAACCTGGTTTCCTCCCAGTGTTTTAGACTCCAGCTCCCATCAGCCCCCAAGATCACTTCGCCGTGCTGGCTGGGGCTGATGGGAGTTGTAGTCTAAAACATCTGGAAAGCACCAGGTAAGAGAGGGGAGGTTGCTGAAGACACATAGATGCCCCTCTTCCTAAGATGCTCTTTTACCTTGAGCCGGAGCAACCGAGCAAGCAGTGGTTTTCAACTCTTTGTACACTCTTTCTCAGTTCAGTTTTTAATGCTGTAAAAAAATAAAAGATACAGGGGTTTCTTGCTTTGCTTTTGTTTTCACTTTAAAGGCCTAATTCAGTTTCATTTTTTTAAAAAAATAAAACGGACTGGGAATCACAGCTCTAACGCCTTATTGTCTGTGCTTACTTGACTGTGAGTCTTAGCAAAGCAGTTTGTCACTTTCCCTCTTATCTTCAACTCGGCAGTAACAAGGTCTCGTTGCCGCTTAAATAAATGAAACCTGACAAGTGCAGGCTAGGCTCATTAGGCACCAGCACCTGAATGTGCCGGGATTGGAGCAGGAACGGGACATCCCGTTCCCAAAGGAGAATTTACTGCCCAACGGGTCAAGCCAAAGAGCTGAGCATTTGGCCCGAACCCCGAGCAAATGGCGGCGGCTTGACTAGAGATGGCACAACTCCACAGTCTGCCCTTAAGAAATAAAACGGGGAGAACTTGGGAAGAAATGTTAAAATGCCATGCTCTGTAAAGGTAAAGGGACCCCTGACCATTAGGTCCAGTCGTGGCCGACTCTGGGGTTGCAGCGCTCATCTCGTTTTATTGGCCGAGGGAGCCGGCGTACAGCTTCCAGGTCATGTGGCCAGCATGACTAAGCCGCTTCTGGCGAACCAGAGCAGCGCACGGAAATGCCGAAAAGAGAATAGAGTATCGGCTAATTCAAATTGAAGGCCAGGCGGAACAGCTCTTTCTTACAGGCCCTGCGGAAGGAGATCAAGTCCTGCAGGGCCCTAGTCTTGTGGGGTAGAGCATTCCACCAGGTCGGAGCCATCACTGAAAAAGCCCTGGCCCTGGTGGAGGATAGTCTGGCTTCCTTAGGGCCCTGGGCCTTTAAGCTATTATTATTCATGGACCATAGGGTCCTCTGCAGGACATACCAGGAGAGGCGGTCCTGTAAGTAGCAGCTGAAGCAAGGTGGCACCACTCCATGTGGGCATCACAGCTGCTAGAGCTGTCTCTGCAACCTAGTGCTCTCCAGTTGGTTTTGGACTGTGACATGCTAGTTGGTTGTAGTCTAAAACAGCTGGAAGGCACCAGGTTGGAGAAACTGCTGTGTCAGGAGAAGGCAGTTTCTCTTGGACTCCGTTCATCACTACCAGTTTTGAAAAAGGATGTAGAGGGGCTCTTGACCTCAGGAACAGACGGACCATTTTAGTGGGATGCTTTTAAAACTTTTTTCTTTTTCTCCTGCCCTCCATTGTGGAACTGAAGGTGGTGCATATTTATTTATAAAATCCATTTATTCTGCAATTGCATAAAAAACCCCAAAGCAGTGTACAACAAATACACACACACAAAATCACATAAAAAGTGTGATTGCAGATCATCAACCAGCTGTTATAGATGTTTTTCTTAATGTTCAGCATAAGCCTGGCAGCATAAAAGAAAACACGTTTGAAGGCTATTCAGAAAGTGCACCTCCTGAATCTCTTGGAAGAGCATTCCAGAGGCCTGGGCCAATGACACGAAAGGCTTGGTTTTGTGTCACTGTCAAATGAATCTCACCAATTTGGGGGATGACAAGTGAAGCTTTACCTGGGACCTTTTCCTTTTGCAGGGGCCTTGATTTTCTATGAAGGTCTGTGCAGGACACAAATGAAATAAACACTGTGCAGCGACCACCATTCATTTCAGGGCTTATGGAGGAAGACCTCTCTTTTCAGGCCCCTGCAGTTGGTGGCGGTGGTGCAACAGGAAGGAGCAAAGTACTTGTCGGCAGGTGTGCGTGTGCAGGACTTCTGGTCTCCACCTACACAAAAATCCCTTTCTACATTGCATTACAGTGGTACCTCGGGTTACATACGCTTCAGGTTAGAGATTCCGCTAACCCAGAAATAGTACCTCGGGTTAAGAACTTTGCTTCAGGATGAGAACAGAAATCGTGCTCTGGCGGTGGGGCGCCAGCAGTGGGAGGCCCCATTAGCTAAAGTGGTGCTTCGGGTTAAGAACAGTTTCAGGTTAAGAACGGACCTCCGAAACGAATTAAGTACTTAACCCGAGGTACCACTGTATAGCTGTAAAAAGGGTCAGATGGGAGGTGCGCTTGCAAAATGGTTGTGGTCCCAGGAGAAAGCTGGGTGGAGGTATAAGACCAACAGTACCCCCTTGTGGCGCATTCCCCCTTTATTTACAGATCATAGTTGACGCTTGGATCTGTAGACTACAGCCTTATAGCCATGGGCGTAGCCAGGATTTTTGTTGGGAAGCCAAAGATTTCTTTTAGGAGCTTTTTTAAGGAGCTCCCGCCTCCTCAAGCAGTCGTTGCGCTTTTTTGGGGGGGGAGTCACGGGTTAAAATACCCCCAAAAGACATTACGGGAAGCAAGCTTCCTAGGGCGCGGGGGAGGGCAGGCATCTAGGGGGAAGTAATTGAGTAGTTTCAATACTTTTTGCGGATCTGCCCCCCTCCCTTGGCTACGCCCATGCTTATAGCCTTGCATTCCCTTAATGCTAGAGACTCGAGTGGCTGCCGAGGAGAAGCGCTTTGCACATGCACAAAGGCACCCTTTACCATTAACGCCTGTCTTCCCCCCCGCCAGCCACAATGGTGGGTCTCTGCAGCGCGACAGAGACGCACCCCTTCCCGCCGCCTCTTGCAACTTTCCGCCGAGCCGCGTTGTTTGGCAACGGGCACGACTCTCCACCAATAGGAGCGCTCCGGCTGCCCAGCGTTCCACGGTTGCCTGGCAACCCTGGCCGGGGACGTTCCACGGTTGCAGAGGCGGCCCCGCGCTGGGCGCGGCGGAGGGATGCGCGGCGCGGCCTCGGGGCCACGGGTGAGTCCTGATCGCCCGGCTGGGGAGTGATGCGGAGCCCCGAGCTGCCGTGGAGTGACCCTCGGACGTAGCCCGGAGCTCCCACCCGGCCCACACTTCCTCCTAAGGAGGAGCCCGGCAGGCAGAAACTTTTACTCCACTCCATCGCGCAGGAGGAAAGAGCGAGACTCCCGCGCCATCGCCTCCATAAAGTTGAAAACTCTCGTTCGTTTTATACTTTTGCACAGAAGCCATTTGACGGGGCTTTGCAATAAGAACATCGGAAGAGCTCTGCCAGCAACTTCATTTCCCAGGATTCTTTGGCAGGCTTCTTAAAGCTGCACGATATGGGGCCTTGTTTTAAACACCCCACTTTACTGATAATTTTAATGTCTTATTTCATGTAGAGGTGTCAGTGATTAAGCAGTACATAAATCCTGCTCAATAAAATAAAAATAAATCTGTCCCCCAGCGCCTGGACCTTGGGTTTCTTTGTGGGGCTAAGGGAGCCTCATTGCTCCTGTGGGCCCAGATTCTTTGCCTTTTGTCCCCTTCCTAGGAGTGATAAAAATGGCTTCCGTTCCCGAGAGACCAGGACCTTGGGTGAAGGATCATTGTGATTACCTGCTAGATTCTATTGATGCTCAGCTCAGCCAGCTCCAGGTAAGTAGGTAGGGAAGGGATGGGCTTTTCTGGAGTTGTTCGTTGGGCAACGCTGGGTTTATATAGGTCTGACTGAAAGATACCCTGGACCACAAAGGGAGACTATGATGGGCGAGGGGCCATTGCTCAGTGATGGGCGAGGGGCCATTGCTCAGTGGTAGAGCATCTGCTTTGCATGCAGAAGGTCTCAGGTTCAATCCCTGGCTGGGAATAACCTTGGTCTGAAACCCTGGAGAGCTGCTGCCAGTCAGTGCAGACAATACTCAACAAGATGGGCCAGTTTTCTCACACAGTATAGGGGATCTTCTTGCATCGCTCCCTATCCAAGACCAACAATGTGTTTTTCACCTCCACCCCTATGTTCAGGAACCCAGTGGAATAATCAAGGGCAGCAGTGACAGTGGGAAGGCTTCTCTCAAGAAAACTGCAGGCACTGATGCCACAGCAGGTAAGACCTACCCTCTCCGCAGGCTGACCTTTAACCATGTCCCAAGCCTCTTTTCCTCAGTTTTCCCTTCTGCAAACTGGGCACAATTTACTTATTGGTCTGTATGTCTTAGATGTAAGACTTAAGCCAGGGAGAGACCTGGTCACAAATCCCCATTCAGTGATGAAGGCCAGCTTCCTTTCAGTCTAGTCTACTTCACAGGGTTGGTTTGAGAGCAAAATAGGAAAACCTTATGATTCACCAACTTCAGCTCTTGGGAGGAAGGGTGTGGGGTGGGAGGACAGTGTATACGTAAGTAGTCTGGCCTGTGTCGGACATTCAAATTTGGAAAAGAATCCATTGGAACGCTAAAATAATCTACATTGGTGGGAGGAGAAAAACCCCATCACGTTGAATTTTTCTGCTGCCAAGCCAGACAACAACACTGGTAGCTTGGATCGGTGCCTTCTTCTGCCTCCCTGCTGCAAAGATTTCTGCATCAGACAGAATTGCCTTTCCAGATGAAGATAATCATACCCTTTGAATGAAGCATTGTGCATCAGTAAATGGACGTTTCATTTGTGGTCCTGAATCTATGGGGTTTTTGGTCAGTGGCTGTGCTCTGCTCCTTCACCCGCTGGGCAAATCTGAACCCTGGTTAGATTGCCAAATAGATGAGCTCCATCCATCCTGTGGCCCTGGCAAGATCTTCTGCCGGAGTAGAAACTTGCCTCCTTGCTAGTGCAGGTGCGCCATCGTTGGGAGAGATTTCGCAGGTATGAATTCTGATCTGGGAGGAAGCTCACTGCTCTCTTCGTTTGCTTTCTCCTCCGTGCAGATCTGGGCGGATGCTCTGGGGTCAGGGACAGAGAGGCCTCTCCGGGGGAAGACCCGTCCTCTTGGGAAGAGGATTGTGCCTGGTGGCTGGTGCGTTTCCTCGACTTGGGGACCGCCCTAGGAGACAGGAGCAGATCGGACTCAGTTTGCACGGAAGACTTTGCGGCCAAGTTTAACGAGGTCCTGGTGGATCCCCTGCCCGGCTCTGAAGAGGAGAGCAGTGCCTTGGCTCTTGACTTGGGGCCTCTAAAATGCGCTACTCGAGATCCGGTTAATACTTCTTCGCCTTTCGCGGACTACGAAGCGGCCTTGGATTGTCTCTCGGTAGATTCAGCAAGAAAGCAAGGAATCGCCCAGTTGCCTAAGGGAGGGTCTGAGGAGGAATGGGACCAGGAGAAGGATTTGGCTGGCCGTTCGAGAGATGCTCCACCGTTGTATATTCCACACAGAATTAAGAGCGCAGAGTCTCTAGGAGAGCAGATCTCATGGCTTAGTCGGAAGTGGTCCACGGATGAGACATGGAAGAGGGTTTTTCAGCTCACGCCCCTGAGCTCCGGGAAGGGGTCTCTGGGCTCGGAGATCTCCCCGCGAAGCATCTTCCTGGGGCCACAGCAGGAGCAAAGAGGTTCAGAGGACTCTTTTGAGTGGGTTCAGGATCCTCACGAAAATACAGAGAGCCCATTGCTCCTTGAAGATTTGAGGCCTTCCCAGCTGCTCCCAGCGTCTAATGTAAAAACTGTTTTGGATGGTGGGTCCCCATCTGTGGGGACAGCAGGATGCGGCCACCCCAAGGAGACCAGCTGCCCAAGGGGTTCGTTGGATGTGGCCTGCCTGTGCACCATCAGAGCATCTTTGGTACCCTCTAATGAAGAGGATGGAGGTGGATCAAAAACCCCTTTGTGTCTTTATCCACAGGGAGCCTGGGACTCTGGTAAAACACAGAGGCCAGCAGAGATCGGCATGGACAGTGGTGCCACTCGGGCTACTGTGTATTCCCATAAGGCTCTGGGCTCAGCCAGTGATGGCTGTATGGGATGCAGGAAGGAATGGATCATGCATCCCCATTGCACAGATGGGCGCAATGAGGCTCTGGAATCAAAGGAGTGTGAGTTGGAGCAGGATCGTTCCCTTGCATCATTTAGGTTAGGGAGCCTTTGTCCCTCCAGATATTGTAGGACTCCAAATCCCATCAGACCCAGCAGCTAGAATGGTCAGGAATGATGTGAGTTGTAGTCCAACAACACCTGGCTGGCCAGGTGTTCCTCAGCCCTGATTTGTGTGTGTTTTAAGGGTTCTGCTGTCTTTATAACAACTCTTTGGATCAGGTCACTCTGCCTTTTAACTAAGGGGGGAAACTGAGGCTGAAAGTGTTGGGTGACATGACCAGCACCATGTTGGGTGACATGACCAGGGTGGCAGATGAGGGACTTGAACTCGGGTCCGGCTGCGATATTGTGCTCATTGTGTGCCCATGATTTTTGGTTCCAAGGATGTTTGGATAATCCAGCTGCTGTTTTCCAGTCATTCCATGTTAGGGATTTATATCTGTACTCTGCTGGTGCAATAATTCAGAACGGGTTTGGGGTTTTTTGCAGGAAAGAGAAGGTGTGAGAATGCATGCCTAAACTTTAGTTTGAGAGTGGATTGGCAAAGTGACATTGGCTCTACTAGTAGTGGTTTGAGCAAAAGAATCTGCTGTATTGATCCTGAAGAGGAAATGTTGGAGTAAATACAGTACACCTTCTGTTGTGATGTTTATATTCCACCATTCCTGCAAGCAGCTCTCAAGCTGTCGTGGATGGCTCTATCTCCTCCATTTTATCCTCACAACAACCCTGTAGAGTAGGCTGAGGCACAGTGACTGGCCCCAAGTCACCCAGTGGGCTTCGTGACTGGTCTCCCAGGGCCTCGTCCGACACCCTAGCCCAGGAGTGCAGACTCCACAGTCCTCCACATCTGGCTGGACTGCATTTGCCATCCCTCTGACCATTATCCATACCGGCTAGAGCTGATGGGAGCTGGGAGTTCAGCAACAGCCAGAAGCCCCCAGGGCTCTCACTCATGCTCTGACCACTGCACTGTACTACTCTGGGTGAATTAATCCTCTGAAAAGAGAGAGAGAGAGAGCCTCTCTTAGGACTCTCATGGCCAGGCCACTTTGAAACTTCTCTGACGTTTTTCTTTTTGGTCCTCTCTTTAGGTGGCAGTTTGGGGGCTCAGCACCATGATCCCCAGTCTGAGCTGAACCAGGGCTGGATGGAGTCCTTTCAGGGCAAACCTGTGGCAGGTGAGGTTACCCGGAGCCAGGAAGGGCTGTGACAGTATTTGCATTAGTGGAAAATGCTGGATTTGGGGCTGGGGAAAGAGGGTGGTGCTTTTCCTCCCCCCATTGTGTCTGAAAACCTGGGACCAAGTGCTTTTCTTGTCTTCTAAACAGCCACCGGCCTCAGTGTCAAGAAGAGCCTCTTGCCGCCACAGCGGGATTTGCTGAGGTAAATATTGATGAGCCTTGGACTATTGAGATAAAGATGGCCAAATACAGTGGTACCTCGGGTTACAGATGCTTCAGGTTACAGACGCTTCAGGTTACAGACTCCGCTAACCCAGAAATAGTACCTCGGGTTAAGAACTTTGCTTCAGGTTGAGAACAGAAATCGTGCGGTGGTGGCAGCGGGAGGCCCCATTAGCTAAAGTGGTACCTCAGGTTAAGAACAGTTTCAGGTTAAGAACGGACCTCCAGAATGAATTAAGTTCTTAACCTGAGGTACCACTGTATGTCCATTTTGGGGTCTTTATCAGTTTCTCGTTTTTCCAGCCTCAAGTTCAGTCCTTCCCATTTCCACATCTTGTGAAACTGAACTTTCACTTTGTTAAATCGTTTCTTCTGGAGACCAAGGCACTAGCCCTCATGGTGGCGAAAGCCTACGGGCGATGCCTGCTGGAATCACAAAAGGCTAGCAGCCAGGGACAGGAGGACTTGAGTATCCCTTCTCCTCCCGTGAACTAGCAAAACCTTAATAAAGTATGCAAATGTGTGCACAATTTGCATGATTCACGCAGGTCACAGAACCCGCCTTTTCTCAGTGCAGGAATTTAAACGGTGTGCGTAAATAAAGCATGGAGTAAACAAGTCCTGCCTATATAACCTTTCAGGCATTTATTGGCATTTATTAAGCATCCTTGCAGTGCATGCTGGCCAGGAATGTATGTCCATCTTAGCTGCTGGGCCCAAATCCTCCCACCTGGGGTTCTGAGCTCTGGACAAATCACACAACAAATGCTGTGGCCCTTAATTCTGCTGTCACTCTCTGGTGTGCTTTCTGGGGCAAGGCAGCAAGGTGATCACAGTGCTCCTTGCTCTTGTGGTGTAGTGGTTAAAAGCGGTAGTCTCGTAATCTGGGGAACCGGGTTTGTGTCTCCGCTCCTCCACATGCAGCTGCTGGGTGACCTTGGGCTAGTCACACTTCTCTGAAGTCTCTCAGCCCCACTCACCTCACAGAGTGTTTGTTGTGGGGGAGGAAGGGAAAGGAGAATGTTAGCCGCTTTGAGACTCCTTCGGGTAGTGATAAAGCGGGATATCAAATCCAGACTCTCCTCCTCCTCCTCCTCCTCCTCCTCCTCCTCCTCCTCCTCCTCCTCCTTCTTCTTCTTCTGTGGCCTTTCAGGTCCCCCAGTTGCAGTGATGGAGGCAGCAAAGAGGAAGACGAGGAGTTTGCCAGGTTATGCAGGACCAGCGAGTCATGGAAGTGGGATGCGAGCAGAGGATCCGAACCCAGTGGGAAAAGAGCTGAGCTGGGAGGCTACAGAAACCTCGAGGTAACTCCTGGTGGATGCAGAACATCACAAAAGTCAGAGGTGGAAGGGGCTCTCTACTGAGGTATGTGCAGCTGGGAAGGGAGAGGTGTGACGAAAAAAATGGTTTTGCTGTACAGATTGGAACAATAAGTGTTTCTTATTGAGAGCCAGTGTGGTGTAGTGGTTAAGAGCGGTAGACTCGTAATCTGGTGAACCGGATTCGCTTCCCCGCTCCTCCACATGCAGCTGCTGGGTGACCTTGGGCCAGTCACACTTCTTTGAAGTCTCTCAGCCCCACTCACCTCACAGAGTGTTTGTTGTGGGGGAGGAAGGGAAAGGAGAATGTTAGCCGCTTTGAGACTCCTTCGGGTAGTGATAAAGCGGGATATCAAATCCAAACTCTTCTTCTTCTTTCTTTGTTTCCCTGCCAGCAAATGGCAGCCTCTGATTGGCCGTGGTTCCAGGAGGGAGAGTTTAAAAGGAGAGGATTTGAGGAGAGACAGCTAGTTAAGGGGTTAGGAGTTAAGGGATTAAGTAGGTTGAAATTGAGGGAGACAGGGGGAGGTATAAAGAGTGAATGGGAGAAATAGTTGGTTCTGGAAAAACAACTTCCGCTCTGAGCGTATTGTGAAGGACAGACTGTGGTGTCCTTTAGAAGGAATAGACTGGAATTTTACTGGGAGGCAGAGGTTGAGCCAGGAAAAGTAGGAGCTGGAAATGAACAAGTAGGGACTCAAATCTAGTCTGGAGGGGAGAAATTCTTCTAAGGAAAAGAAGAAACTCCCAAACCCAGTGAAGGGAGATGGTCTGGAGAGCCCTTTGGTCTATTACTTAAAGTACCTCAGGAGTAGGATTATTAAACGGGGTGGATAACTGAAGGAACGTATCACCGCATAAAGGAACCAAACCTATAACGCAAAAACAACTGAGGACGAATTAACATGAAATCACACTGTATTCCTGAAGTAACCTAAGTTTAATCCATTTTGTGTTGTATACTATCTTGCCCTAAATAAATCTTTATTGTTTATTTAAAGAAAATTTGTCAGAGACTCTAACTTGCTAGTTATCCCCTCACAAAGGTCCTCTACAGGATGCTCTGGGCTAGAATTCTAAGAGGGAAGGAAAAGAAAAATTTGAAAGAAATCTCGATGAAATTGTTAAAGAAAAGTAAATTATAAAAATTTGACAGGTGCACTGAGATATAACAAAATCCCTTATTGCTGAGAATATCCTGAAGGAATATCTTTTACAAATAAAGGAAGAAAACAAAGGTATTGGGATCCCAATGAAGCAGGCAAATTCTGGAGAAAATATGGAAAAGAATTAGCAGGAGAAAGGGCGTTTGGTTTGGAAGAAGAAGAATCAACAGAGGTTGAGACGAGAGACAAATAAATGAAGAACAAGATGGCGTTGAAAATCTTAACTTGGAATGTAACTGGACTTAATAATAAAACCCAAAGGAACAACATTGAGCATGTAGTTTAAAAAGTTAAATTTGGAAGTGATTCACTTCCAGGAATTACACATTGCGAAGAAACACAGAAGGGTTTTGATTAATAAAAGATTGGGAAAGGACTTTGTAGCCTGTGATGTAACAAAGAAGAGAGGAGTGGTAATGTATATAAAACCCAAACTGGATCCACAGCAACTATTTAAAGACGAGCAATGAAGAATATTGATAACTCAGATAACATCACAAGGATAAAAAAAACATTGCTAATAGATGTGATGATAAAAAATCAATTTAAGGAACTGCAGAAAGAGGAGGAAGGAAGTCAAGTTTTGAAATGTTAAAATGAGGGCGCTGAGTTGGATAAGACTGCAAAGTACGGACGAAGGTGTGATCAAAAGAAACCCAACATTTAGGGCAGGATTTATGGGTTTGTTTGCTTTTTATAGGACAGGCAAACAGGCTTAAAAACATTAATGGTAAAAGCCTTTGTTCGACAGGCCCTGGAATTGGAAGAAGAAAAATTGTCACAGAAAAGGGCCCAGATCCGCGAAGCTGACGTGTCCCTGCAGAGTGTCCTCCAGCAGAAAAAGGTATTCTAGTGGGAGGGAGTCCCACAGGCAAAGGATGTGGTCTAGCCACTGCACAGCCTGCTCTAAACTACCCATGACCTGGAGGGGGACGGCAGAGGAGCAGAACCCACGACTTTCCTCCTCTTTCTAGCATGTCGCTCTGGAGCTGGAGACTTTTCGGGAGGCCCTGGAGAAGAGCCAGAGGGAGGCGAGGAGGCTGCAGCTGATCATGGAAGAGAAGCGGAGCCAAGCGGATGAGGCCAGGTATGTGGGGTAGGGGTGGCTAGGGCAGGGCCGTAGCTAATGGGGGTCGGGTCTAGCTGAGGTCTCAGACCCGGGTGAAGCCTCTAGAGGGGTGCCACTGAAGCTCCCAGCTGGCCAGATTGGGGGGGGGGAGGCTTCCTCCAACCATGGGCCCTTCTTGTGACTCCAGAATCCAGCTGCTGAGCACTGGAGGGATGCTAAATTGCAAGCGGAAGCAGGAAAACGATCCTCCTTCCCCTTTTCCCCCTGTCTGTTTTTGGAACTGTGTGAGAAAGAGAAATCCTGGAGAAGGTTGCTCTCCAAGCAAAGTGAAGTTTTGTTTCTCTCTTGTTTTGTTTCCCCCAAAGAAGATAGGGGGCAGCAAAGGGGGAGAAATAAACAACACCATGGAAAACGGGGTGGGAAGTCGATAAAAATCAAAATACAGTCATACCTCGGGTTACAGACGCTTCAGGTTGTGTTTTTTCAGGTTACGGACCCGCAGAATCCCAGAAGTACCAGAGAGGGTTACTTCTGGGTTTTGGGGGTCACGCATGCGCAGAAGTGCTAAATTGCGCTTTGCGCATGCACAGAAGCACCAAATTGTAACCCATGCATGCACAGACACGCCGCTGCAGGTTGCAAACACTGCGGGTTGCGAACGTGCATCCCGCACAGATCACGTTCGCAACCCGAGGGTCCACTGTAAAATCTTATTGTGTATTGGAGTAGATGAAACTTTTGAAATTTAATAAAAGATAACTTGCATGGCGGGGTGGGGGAGTGGGGAACCATTGACTCCCCCAAACACCTCAGTCATCATACAGAGGTGTAAGGAGTCAGCATCAGGAAGGGACCACGAGGGTCATCCAGCCTCTGCAATGCAGGAATCTTGCTGTTGTTTCAGCTGTTGTGGTTATCCTTGCCATTACAGTGGTACCTTGGTTCTCAAACGTAATCCGTTCTGAAAGTCTGTTCCAAAACCAAAGCGTTCCAAAACCAAGGCGTACTTTCCCATAGAAAGTAGTGCAAAACAGATTAATCCGTTCCAGACTTTTAAAAACAATCCCTAAAACAGCAATTTAACATGAATTTTACTATGTAATGAGACCATTGATCCATAAAATGAAAGCAATAATCAATGTACTGTACTATAAAATAAAATAAAATAAATAAGACAGTATTGTAGATGATAAAATTTAAAATTATTTTTTCCTTACCGGCACTGATGATCGTTATTGTTTGGATAGGGGCTTTTATCCATTTCCGCAGTCACGCAATCAATCAATCAATCAATCTGTAAGTAAGTAGCTGAACTGGGATCTACACAGTCACAAAAATAAATTAACTGAAAAAGCCACGAAACAAAAAACGCAAAATAAATAGCAAAAACAAAAGCACCAAATATAAGCTCCAAATATCACCTTGCAACACTGCAATTGGAAACGGAAGACTTGAATTACTGTGCGGGTGGGGGGGGGGGACACAAATTAGAAACGCAACAGGAAACAGGGGGACTCATAACGGAGCACGTTTGGCTTCTGAAAAAGAGTTCGAAAACCGGAACACCTCCTTCCGGTTTTGCAGCGTTTGGGTTCCAAGTTGTTTGTGAACTAAGCTGTTCGAAAACCCAGGTACCACTGTATTAATTTCCTATGTAGCGATTTCACCATAAAAGCCCTATACGAGACAGTTGCACCTGTTAAAATGCAATGGCACAGATCTCAAAATAAGAAATCATTAAGGAGGTACTTCAGAATGCTGAGCCCAGCGCCCTTTCCTCCTCTGCTGCTGACCTGAGGCCACAAGGTCCTTCTCCCTCCCCATCTCTCCTTCCCATTTCCGCCGCCTGACCTGCTGCTCTCTGTGGCTCAGGGCTGACCTGTTGCTCCTGGAGTACAAGCGGGAAGCCTGCCTGAGGGACCTGCTGGCGCTGGAGCAGGAGCTGAGCGTGCTGAGGAGCCAGAGGAGCCAGCATGGGGCTGCCCAGGCAGACGTGAGTAGCAAGGGTTGCAAAGCCTTCGGTGGGATCTCTTCCATCGGCATCAAGCAAAGATACAACTCAAGTATTTGGACTGCCCTTCACAGGAATCTCTTTAATAATAATAATAATAATAATAAAATTATTTATACCCCACCCTCCCCAGCCAAGACCGGGCTCAGGGCGGCTAACACCCTGATTAAAATGCAACTTAAAAACAGGACTAAAGTACAACATTAAAATGCAGCCTCATTTCAGTAGAAACTCCAATCAAAAACTTTTGGGGGATGAAAACGTCAAATCTTCACCAAGGCCAACTATCCAGACTGGTCCTACATGGGCCAGAAAAAAGCCAGGGAAGTCCCCAAATAGGAGTTCCATCACAGAAGAAGAGTGAGGGTAGGGAAGTTTTCTTCCACCCTGAGGGCCATGCTTCTTCAAGGGCAACTTTCTGGAGGGGGCCTGATGCCAATGGGGCGGGGCCAAAGGCAAAACTGGGCGGAGCCATGGCTGTGCCCATACCTGTTCTGCAGTGTGCGGCAGTCCAGCCGTGCAGACGTTTCTGCGCAATGCCAGCAAACAAGAGCATCGTTGATACACCTGCCCGTTGGCTGTAATGCTCTTTCAGCAGGGAGTGTTTTCCATCTTCTTCTTCATTGGCGACCACTCATAGCCGAGTAAGATTGTCTTCCATAAACACGGTTTTAACAGTGAGTCTGTAAGTGACTGTGGAGGCCAGTTCTGGATCCACGCATCCTTCCACAGTGGAGACATAGGTTTCCGGGCAGGAGCTGATCACGGTGTGGATTTGCCAAGCGTGCCTTCCTCTTAGCACGTTTCTCCCTTGCGTCCTGAGTTTGAGTGTCTTCAAAGCTCATGACACCTTTGGTAAAGGCTGTTCTCCAGTTGGAGCGCTCACAGGCCCATGTTTCCCAGTTGTTGGTGTTTATACTACATTTTTAAAGATTTGCCTTGAGAGAGTCTTTGAACCTCTTTCGTTGACCACCAGCATTACGCTTACCATTTTCTGAGTAGCGTAGTTGGTTCAGAAGTCGATAATCAGGCATCCGCACAACAGGAACAGTCCAACGAAGTTGATGTTGGAGAATCATTGCTTTGACACCGGGTGTGTGTTCCATAAGCCCAGTTTCACCAGTGAGAAAGCCGTCTCCTGCATTGCCACAAGCTGACAACCGCAAGGCTGTGGGAAGGCTGGCCAGTTTGTGGACCTGAACGCCCTTAGCAGGCAACAGGCCTCTTTAACTCCTGCTGTCTCCTCCAACAGGTGTCTCGGTTAGCCGCTGAGAGGGAAGAGCTGAAGTTCCAGGTGAGCCAACTGGAAGGCAAGCTGTCTTCCTTGAAGCATCAGCTGAAGTCCTCCAGAATAGAGCTGGCCTCTGTGAAGGAAACCTCAGGGGACAGAGCAGGGCCACTGCAGGAGGTAGGAACGCTTGGCAGGCTCTGGGCTCATGCCATTGGACCTTGGCAGCCATCTTTGAGGCCCAGTCACCAGGGTTGCTAAGCTAGGGTTGCCATACGTCTGGAATTTCCAAGGCATATTCAGAATACTCAGTCGGAAGCAGTATTTCCAGGCGGAAATCGCAAAAATGTCCGGGGAAATCTGGAGGTATGGCAACCTATGTCGGACATGTCGTTTTGGGCGATTTTCCTTAAAAATAGCCCAAAACAAAATGATCGCAACAGGAGCAGGAAACCTGATTTTTTTTAAAAAAAAACTTGTATTAAATTTAAGTAATTTGGTTTGATTTGTAATAATTTGGAAAACTAATAAAAATAAATTGAAGAAAAAATAGCTCAAAGACTTTGAGCTATTTTTGGCAAAGTTGTCAAGCTTTTCTTTTTGCGGGGAGGGGGACTATTTTGAGCTATTTTTAAGGAAATTTGCCAAAAAAATCAACACTTCTGACATGGGTTGCCATACAACAGGGTTTTCCCAGGCATTTTTTGCGATTTTCAGAAATTCTGCCTAGACGCTATTTCCATAGGTGTCAACCTTTCCCTTTTCTAAAGGGAAATTGCCTTATTCCGAATAGGATTCCTCGCAAGAAAAGGGAAAAGTTGACAGCCATAGCTATTTCCAACGGACAGATCCTGGATATACCTGGGAAATCCCAGGCGTACGGCAGCCCTGTGGTTGGCTGTGCATCTGGGGAAGGGCGGCAGCTGCGTAAATTCCCCCCAGGTCTTACCTGCCGCGTGTCAATCTTCCCAGGGGTCTTCTGCACCAGCTTTGCGGCTTGCTCACTCCAAGAAAGGCCACTGTTGTGTGACTTCCTCCAAGCACAGGTTGCTCCAGGGGCCAGTGAGGCCGGTGTGCGGCGGGTGCAGGGGCTGGAGCGGAGGATCTCTGCTCTGCAGGCAAGCCTCAGGGAGAAGGAGCTGGAGCTCTCGAGGCTGCGCCAGACCGTCTCTGCCTTGGAGGCTGAAAAAGCGTCTTGGAGCGTCACTGCAGAGAGCCTGGCAGAAGAGCGCAAGAAGCAGCTGGACTTGTTGCGGCAACAGAAGGTGGCTTTTTCTTGCGGGGCGGGATTTGCAACTGTGTGCGTGGCGACTTTGTCGCTCGGTCTAACTAGGGAACTCCCTGCTGCAGGAGGCGGGGGTGGCCTCAACTGGGGTGGCTTGAAAAAAAGGATCGGACTAATTCAGGGAGAAGAGGGCAATCGATGGCTACTAAGCCACAATGGCTGCGCTTTGACCCCATGGCCAGAGGCAGCAATGCTTCTGAATGCCAGTGGCTGGAAGCGGCAGGAGGGAAGAGGGCTCTTGCGCTCAGGTCCAGCTTGTGGGTTTCCCAGAAGAGGCATCTGATTGGCCGCTGTGAGATGAGGATGCTGGACTAGATGGGCCATTGGTCTAATGCAGCAGCCAGGCTCCTTTCTGGTTCTTATGTACAGTGGTACCTTGGTTCTCAAACTCAATCCGTTCCGGAAGTCCGTTTCAAAACCAAAGCATTCCAAAACCAAGGCGCGCTTTGCCATAGAAAGTAATGCAAAACGGGTTAATCCGAACCTGATCCAAAACACCCACCCCACTCACATATGAAAACAAAGACCACTACAGCCAACCACAAATGAACAACCACACCCTAGGCCAACCCCAACCTCTCTCACCACCAAAGGAACACAAGTGAACAGCAGAGAACCTGCACAAGCAACGCTGACACCAAACCCTACATATAGTAAGTAAAATAGAAACATCGCCACCCGACCCCACCCCCACCCATCTTCCCCCCCACTCTACCTCTTTCTCCCTTTTCTTCCTAATGTCTCAACAAATGAACCTGATTTGTAAAAATGTTACATGGTAAATATACAAGAGAGAGACATTACGCATACTTTTGTAAATCAAGAAAATCTTTAATAAAAATGCATTAAAAAACAAACAAACAGATTAATCCATTCCACACTTTTAAAAACAACCCCTAAAACAGCAATTTAACATGAATTTCACTATCTAACGAGACCATTGGTCTATAAAATGAAAGCAATGATCAACGTACTGTGCTATAAAATAAATAAGACAGTATTGTAGATGATAAAAATAAAAATTATTTTTTACTTACCTGCACTAGTGATAGTTATTGTTTGGATGGGGGGCTTTTATCAATTTCCGCAGTCACACAATCAATCCATCAGTAGCTGAACTGGGTTCCACACAGTCACAAAAAAAAGAAATGAACCGAAAAAGCCATAAAAGCACAAAATAAATAGCAAAACCAAAGCGCCAAACTTAATCCGTTCCGGAAGTCGGTTTGACTTCTGAAATGTTCGAAAACCAAGGCGCAGCTTCTGATCGGCGCAGGTTCCCCGGAAACAATAGCCGACAGCCGCATCGGACATTCGGCTTCCGAAAAACGTTTGAAAACCGGAACACTTACTTCCCAGTTTTCGGCATTTGAGACCCAAGGCGTTTGAGACCCAAGGTACCACTGTAGATGCAAAAGGGCGGTACCACCACATGTGCGTTAGGGAACCCCTCACTAGACAGCTGTGAAGGCATCTTTTCTGTCCACCTCCAGGAGGAAGAACTTACTCAGCTGCAGGAAGAGCTGGAGGGCAAAAAGCAGCAGGCCCTGCGAGAGGTAGGCATGGCAGCTCCCCTTGGCTCCTTCCCCTCGAGAATTCCCCTTTCTTGAGCCCCACTGCAAGGAGGAAATGGGCTTAGCTTCACTGCCTTAGCTGTAATTTGGGTTTGGTGTGGTTCGTGGCTGCAACCATGAAACCCAAATCCTGCCTTTGGATTAAGCCGTTTTAATTGTTATTTTATTTAACACAGGTTGTAAATAGCACTTGGTTTATTAAAAAAAACAAAAGACCATTAAAATTCTCCACAAAAGTTAAAAACAAACATTTAAGCATTTCGAAATATAATTCAAACCAGCAGCTGCCTGTTTGTATCGTGCAACATCTTTGGTATCGCCAGGAGGTGTTTGGGGGCGGTTCATTGTAGGCTGAGAGTCGTGCCCAGAGTTTTTCTCTACAGTCCTTAGAGCTAGGAAGTTGCTTTTGCTTCTTATTTTCTGCAAAAAATAAATTTGGCTTCCCCACCCCCTGTTAAGTTGTGGGCGAACATATCAGACGACACAGCGATTCTTCCAAAGCAGCTCTTTATTTGTAAGCTGGAACAGAACTGAACTGAGGAGCTCAGTCAGCCTGCTTATATAGAGCTCCAGAACAACGTAACTGTTGCAATTTTCTAAAACTATTCCAATCACTGAACGTCACTTTCGATCCTTCATTTGCATTACTATCTACAGTATCCCCCTGCTGGCCCAGGGTGAGAACTTCAGTACATAACACCCACCAAGTGCCAAATGCTGCATACAGCATGAATTTGCTGGCCCCACTTCTGCCTTTGCTAACCATCTTTTTGTGGGTGCTGCTGGGGGGAACAGCAGGGCATCTGTTGGACTTGTTCCATATTTGCCATTGGGTCCCCTGAGCACAGATTCACACAAAGTGACAATCAACCTTGCAGGATTCAAAAGGATTTATTTGAAATGCATATGCAGGACAAAGGCACAGCGCGATAAGCTGGCAATCTGCACACCCAGTTCTGAGCGTGCCAGCTTTTTATACCCCTTAGAATGTATAGACACATGTTCACATGTATATAATAAGATAGTTTAGTTTCTTGTGTTACCCTCCTCCTTTTCAGTTCGCCTCCTCCTTTTCAGCCTCCCTCTGGGGTTACAATAACACCCATTCAACCTTGCTCTTATCTCTACCCACCTAGGCCAGACATTCCAGAGAGAGAGGCCCATTTTCACTGTAACATCTAAGCAAGAAGAAAAAGCCTTGTTCTTCTGGCTGGTGTAAAAACCTCCCTCCTCCCTTTAAGGAAGGCGGTTTGGGGATAACATATGAGAGTGGAAAAAATGCCTCAAACAGTTTTTGGGATCATATATAGAACAATATTCTAATGGCCCTTCACATCTGCTTGGCTTGCAGAAGGTTCCAGGTTCCATTCCTGGCAGTTTCCCCTGTCCAAAACCCTGGAGAGCTGCTGCTGGTCAGTGCAGACAGCACTGGACTAGACAGGCTGATGGTCTGACTCAGTGCAAGGCAGCTTCTGATTTTAATCATCCCTTTAATTCAGAACTTTGAGGACTGGGAACTTATTTTATTTTGAAGGAAGGGCTGTAGCCCAGTGACAGAGTACCTGCTTTGCATGCAGAAGGTCCCGGGTTTGATATCCAGCATATTCAGGGAAGATTGGGAAAGACTCTCTGCCTGAAAATCTAGAGAGCTGCTGGCAGCCAGTGTAGGCACTACTGAGTTAATTGGATTAATGGTTTGACTCAGTATAAACCCCCATCTTTCAGCCCGGACACTGAGGTCCAGCTCTGAGGGCCTTCTGGCGTTTCTCTCACTGTGAGAAGTTACAGGGAACCAGGCAGAGGGCCTTCTCGGTAGTGGCACCCTCCCATCAGATGTCAAGGAGATAAACAACTACCTGACTTTTAGAAGACATCTGAAGGCAACCCTGTTTAGGGAAATTTTAAATGTTTGATGTTGTATTTTGTTTCAATTTGTTGGAAGCCACCCAGAGTGGCATATTTTTATTATTATTTCTCGTTGTTGTTGTTGTTTTGGGTCTGATTTCTTTCCGCAGGGCCTGTAAGACAGAGTTGTTCCGCCTGGCCTTTGGCTTGGAATTAACTTGATCCCCTCCCCCCCTTTTCCTTTCTCCTTCTGTGATGGAACTCCTATTTGGGGACTTCCCTGGCTTTTTTCTGGCCCACGTAGGACTAGTCTGGATAGTTAGCCTTGGTGAAGACTTGATGTTTTCATCCCCCAAAAAGTTTTTGATTTGAGTTTCCACTGAAATGAGGCTGCATTTTAATGTTGTATTTTAATCTTGTTTTTAAAGTTGTATTTCAATCAATTGTTTTTATATCTGGTGTTAGCCACCCTGGGGAGGGCAGGGTATAAATATTATTATTATTATTATTATTATTATTATTATTATTATTATTATTATTATTATTATTTATAATTATTTGCAGTGGCTCTTTGAGTGACCAAAAGCAGTGTGAAATGTGGCATGTTCTAACTGATTTTCCCCTTTCTCTCTCTCTCAGCTTGCAGAGAGCCTGAAGCAGGCAAAAGCCAGAGCCCTCCAGGAGCAAGCGGCCAAATTTCAGAAAGAAGCAGAAGACCTTCGCAAGACCATAAAGGTGGCTATTACCCACGATGCCTTGAGGCATGGGCTGCTGCTGGGCTCCTCTTGCGCTAGCAATAACATTTGTATCCCAACCTTTTTCCCTCAAGGGGTTAATTTGGAAGTTTGGTGGGGTGTCTTCCCTTTTAACCCCACACCATAAGCCTGACTCGGTCCAAACTGGATTCTTAGGTTCTTAAGGCAGGTGTGGAGAACTGCGGGCCCAGAGACCCAATGTGGCCCCTCATGCCTATCCATCTGGCCCTCGGGTCAAGCCATCTGGCCCCGTCCACTTTTGCTCTGGCCCCGCCCACCACTCACATGCAGCACCCAGAAGAATGCCCACATGGCAATGCGTCTCTCAGGCTGGCAATGACTTCTCGACCCTGTCCTAAGTTTAACCGCCGGTCTGGTTTAATTCTGTGGGCTTTTCCTGCTCTGAGACCCCACAGCTACCGTATTTTTCGCCCTATAGGACGCACTTTTTCCCCTCCAAAAATGAAGGGGAAATCTGGGTGCGTCCTATGGGGCGAATGCAGGCTTTTGCTGAAGCCTGGAGAGCGAGAGGGGTCAGTGAGATCAGCGCGTCCAGGCTTCGCGGACCTCTCCGCAAGCAGCGGGAGCCAGCGCTGGGCTCCCATGGCTTGCAGAGAGCTGCCTGTTTGGGGGCTGGGGTCAGGGGAATTTTTTTCCCTTTATTTCCCCCCAAAAAACTAGGTGCGCCTTATGGGACGGTGTGTCCTATAGGGCGAAAAATACGGTAATTCTCCCCTGGCCTCCTCACTGGCCCAAGTAGGACTAATTCAGCCAGCTAGCCCTGGTGATTATCTAATGCTTATTAGATGGATTTCCCCTAAATTGATTTCTGAACTATGAATTTTATTGTTATTCATGTTTTTATACTGTATTTTATGCTGCTTTTACAATTAAGTGTTTTAAATTTGTTGTTAGCCGCCCTGAGCCCGGTTTTTGAACCGGGAAGGGTGGGGTATAAATAAATTATTATTATTATTATTATTATTATTATTATTATTATTATTATTATTATTAAATAATATTTTCCACTTTCTTCCCAGGAGCGAAATGCTGAAATTGCCCAGCAGCGGAAAGCTATGGAACAGCAAGCCAAAGAGCTAAAGCAGGAAGCTCAGGAACTGGTAGGGGTACATTATTATTATTATTTGTTGTTGTTGTTGTTGTTGTTGTTGTTGTACATTATTATTATTATTTGTTGTTGTTGTTGTTATTTTGCATTTATAGCCCATTCTTCCTCCTTATGGCAAACAGATTTCAAAATAGAAAGGAAGCAAGAACATTTCAAAACAGTTTGAAACATTTGAAAAACAACTACAGTTCAAATATTCCAAAACATCCAACGCGTTTCTTAACTGTCTTGGGCAAAAATCCACATTGTTGATGGTGAATAAAGTCCTGTAGTTTAACGTTTTAGCTTTGATTTTTATAAAAAGGGTGCTGAGAGTTCTTAGGAGAGGCCCTCTGTTCCCTTCACAGAACTGCAGTTCCCAGACTTCCCTGGGAAGAGGGAGTGATGGTGAAAACTGCTCTGCGGATCATAGCTCTGCCCTGTTCTTCTCAGGTTCAGAACTCGCTGCTCCAGGAATGGAAGAGCCAAGAGGCCGAGACGAGGGCCGCCCTCCAGATGCAGCGCAAGGCCCTGGAAGAGCAGGAGCGGAAGATGCGGGGGGAACTCCAGGAAGCCCTGGAGAAGGAGAGGAAACTCAGCCTGGCCTTGCGGGACGAAGCAGACGACCTCCGCAAGGTAGCTGTTGAGAGAGGAGAGCGATTCTGTGATCTCTGTGACACATAGCTGTCAACTTACAGATTTGAAAATAAGGGACCAGCAGCCTCGAAAATCAGGGATCAGCAGCCAAAATAAGGGATTTTGCTTAGCTTATGCACATCGGGGCTGCCGTCGTCCTGGCGTGAGGAGTTCCATCGGCCCTTCCTCGCCCGAGAGAGAGAGGGAGGGAGAGAGAGAGACTCTTGCCCACGAGCCCAGCATGAAGCGGTTGCGGCACAGCCTCTGAAGCGCCGCCCTTCTGCGTCCCACCCCATCCCCTCCTCTTCCTCCTCCCTCAGGTGCCTCCTCAGCCGCCGCTGCTGCCGCCTCCGGCTTCCCCTGGCAGCGTGGTGGAAGTCTTGCAAGAGAGGGGCTGCCTGCCCGCCCACCGCTACCCGTCTCCTCACAATGCGCCCCTGAGGGGGGAAAGGGAGAGACGGAGAGGCGGCAGCTCGTGCGCGCGCTCTCTCTCGGCGGAGGACCCCGAGCCACTGCTTCCCTCCCGAGCCGGGCAAGCATGAAACCCAGGAAATTTAAGGGGCATCATCAGTCCGGGACAGCAGAGGGACACGGTGCTGGGATAAGGGAGTTTCCCGCCAAATAAGGGGCGGTTGGCAGCTATGCTGTGACAGTCGCTGGCAGAAGGAGTGGGGTGGAGGGAAAAGGATGCACATGGACCAGGCGGGAAGAAACTTTTGCAGTCTTGAGGGGCACATTCCTCTCTATGGGAGCTGCATGCCAATGGGGGACAGAAGAACAGTACCTTCGTTCTGTAGGCAACATTAAAGGTAAAGGTAAAGGTACCCCTGCCCGTACGAGACAGTCTTGACAGACTCTGGGGTTGTGCGCCCATCTCACTCAAGAGGCCGGGGGCCAGCGCTGTCCGGAGACACTTCCGGGTCACGTGGCCAGCATGACAAAGCTGCATCTGGCGATCCAGCGCAGCACACGGAACACCGTTTACCTTCCCGCTAGTAAGCGGTCCCTATTTATCTACTTGCACCCGGGGGTGCTTTCAAACTGCTAGGTTGGCAGGCGCTGGGACTGAGCAGCGGGAGCGCACCCCGCCGTGGGGATTCGAACCGCCGACCTTTCGATTGGCAAGCCCTAGGCGCTGAGGCTTTTACCCACAGCGCCACCCGCGTCCCGTAGGCAACATTGCAGCCGTGCAAATATTTTCCCTATGCACACACATCTTCATCCAGGCCACCAAGAGGCGATATCAATTAAAAGGGTAAAAGAGCATTGGGAAATAATTTATAATGAATTGGGGGGGAAATGATCAAAAGCACCTTTCCCAAAAAAACAGAGTCTGTTCCCAAAAAAACAGTGGAATGCTGAATGGAAGGAACAGCCAGCTTCCAAGAAACTGCAATCTACTCGCACAATTCAAAACTGGCAATGATTTCCCCCTTTTGGGGGAGGGATCAGGGTGAAGGAATATAGTGGTACCTCGGGTTAAGAACTTAATTCATTCTGGAGGTCTGTTCTTAACCTGAAACTGTTCTTAACCTGAAGCACCACTTTAGCTAATGGGGCCCGCCGCACCGCCGGAGCACGATTTCTGTTCTCATCCTGAAGCAAAGTTCTTAACCCAAGGTACTATTTCTGGGTTAGCGGAGTCTGTAACCTGAAGCATCTGTAACCCAAGGTACCACTGTAGATAGAAAAAGTTGCTCACCAAGAGATCGCTGATGAAACAGTCAGCCTCACAGCAGAGAGCTCCGTCTTCCGGTATAGCGTTCTAAAGGGAGGGGCGAGGGGCTGGGGCCGAATGGAGGAGCCAGCGACCGACCACAATTCAACAAAACCTCTCAGGGATCAACCAGTAGATCGCAATCTACCTGTTGGACATCCCTGCTGAATGGTTTAGTTTATATAAAATATGCAGAGATTTCGTGCTATGTAAAATGAACCATGGAAAGAGAAGAAGGGAAGTCATTGATATTTTAAGGTGGTATAAATGAATATTCTAAATTGTAAAACAGAAAATTTAATTAAAATATATATATTATTGTTATCATTTAAGCCACAGATGGGATAGCTCAGTTGGTTAGAGTGTGATGTTGACAACACCAAGGTCACAGGTTTGATCCCCTAAAGGACAGCTCCATATTCCTGCATTGCAGAGGGTTGGACAATTCTATGGCAGGGAGAGTAGCAAATGTGGCCCTCCAAGGCTCTCTCTCTGGCCCTTGAGACTTTACGTAGGCCACACCCCTCACTGGCCCTGCTTTCCGTCCTCCTTGAGTGTTCACACCTTGCTGCAATGTGTATTTGAACTCTGATCATGCTTGCAGGTGGCGCTGTGGGTTAAACCACAGAGCCTAGGACTTGCCAATCAGAAGGTTGGCGGTTCGAATCCCCAAAACGGGGTGAGCTCCCATTGCTCGGTCCCTGCTCCTGCCCACCTAGCAGTTCAAAAACACGTCAAAGTGCAAGTAGATAAATAGGTACCGCTCCAGCGGAAAGGTAAATGGCGTTTCTGTTCGCTGCTCTGGTTCGCCAGAAGCAGCTTAGTCATGCTGGCCACATGACCTGGAAGCTGTACGCCGGCTCCCTCGGCTAATAAAGTGAGATGAGCGCCGCAGCCCCAGAGTCGGCCACGACTGGACCTAATGGTCAGGGGTCCCTTTACCTTTACATGCTTGCTTGCCTGGATGGTGATGCATGCATGATCACTGGAATTTGTAAGCAGTGATTTCATTTCAAATTATATGTATTTCTCTCTCTCTCTCTCTGTGTGTGTGTGTGTGTGTGTGTGTGTGTGTGTGTGTGTGTTTGCGGGGAGTGGAGAGCTGAGGAACTCCTGGTTTGTGCATGGCCTAATGTCCAAAGATAAGAGTCATTGCTCCACCCACTTTTTTGCCTTCTGCCCTGCCCTCTAGTGGCATGTGACCCCGGAAGCGTTGTCCACAAAGGGATACAGCCCTGGGGCTGATCTCCTTGGGCTGAAGCAGGGTCCCCACCCCTGAGAGGGGAGAAGGAGCGAGTAGGACAGGGAGGTTTGAATTAAAACAGCTTCTCCTAATGTGTTTTTTTCTGCCCTAGAGGATCCAGGTGTTGGAGGGCGAGGCTCGGGAGAAGAAGGGGGCCATGGAAGACCTCCGGGCTCTGCTGCAAGCAGAGAAGGCAGAAGCCTTGAGGAGGCTGCGAGAGGAGCTGGAGTTGGTGAGCGGGGGAAAAGCACCCCCTTTGTGTACTTTGGGGTCCCCTTCCCCCAGAAACAAGAGTTGTAGCTTCAGGATGTTATAGGGGAAAACCTGCTCCTTTTCCCTTATGGGGTATCCAAGAGCCTGTACAGAGTCCTTAGGAGAAAATAACAGAGGCCAACCAGAGTATATTGAGAAGCAAGGCGGCTAGTAAGCCTGATCTTTATTAAACTGTTGCAACAGGGCCCCCACTCACCACATGCAGGAGGGAGGAGGAACCCAGAACAATGGTGCACAAGCTGTTATATAGACTTTTGAAATCGCCCACCCTGTTGCTCAAGACCACCCTTCTAAAACATTGCACACACATCACAGAAGGAGGCGGTCTACAGCAGAAATCCTGTCTGCCAGGATACCTGATATTGGCCGCTGATTACATTACCTGGGCAGCCTGGCCATTCTTTTGTGATGGTTAATACTTTAGTTCTGGGGTCCCAGGTCCCAGGCTCACCCTATTCATACACAAATATGCCTTTAAGACAGGATTTGTAAGCAAAAATACAATGGGGAGGTATTCCCATTTCCTTCCTCCTTCCAGAGAAATATTGGAGGTCAATTTGGGAGAGTCAAAATGGCTTCAGGATTGCTCTCCTGTACTATTTCAGACACGTGGTGTATATACTTACGTGTGTGTTTGCCTTGTACATTTATGAACATTTATAATTGGGACCTTAGAATTCTTATAACAGCAACAACAGTTTGGCTTTGCAATCCCACCTCTCTCCTCCTCAAAACCTCACCTTAGCACAGCCCTGAAGTCCCACAACCTGCTATGGAAGTGGGGAGCCTGAGAGGTAGTCAGGCAGAAAGGAGAGCACAGACTTGGGCTGATGCCAGATATGGCCTGGGAAGCTGCCTTCTACTGAGTCAGCCCACTGGTCCATCTAGTTCAGTATTGCCTACACTGACTGGCAGCAGCTCTCCAGAAGTTTGGGGCATCGAGTCTTTTCCCAGCCCTACCTGGAGATGCCATTGGGAATGGAACCTGGGACCTTTTTAGCATGCAAAGCAAGTGCTCTTCTACTGAACTATACTGCCCTTAGCCTAAAAATAAATCAATAATAAATAATAATAATAATAAATTTTATTTATATCCCGCCCTCCCCAGCCGAAGCCGGGCTCAGGGCGGCTAACAACACTAAAATAGTGCAACATTATAAAACATCATAAGAATTAATTAAAATCAAAATTGATGGCAACCATAAACTAAAGTATTGTAAAGATTGCCAAAGGAGGGAGTCAGGCTGTGCCCTAACCAAAGGCCTGGTGGAACAGCTCTGTCTTGCAGGCCCTGCGGAAAGATGTCAAGTCCTGCAGGGCCCTTGTCTCTTGTGACAGAGCGTTCCACCAGGTTGGAGCCGCAGCCGAAAAAGCCCTGGCTCTAGTTGAGGCCAGCCTAACCTCTCTGTGGCCTGGGACCTTCAAGATGTTTTTATTTGAGGACCGTAAGTTCCTCTGTGGGGCATACCAGGAGAGGCGGTCCCGTAGATACGAGGGTCCTAGGCCGTGTAGGGCTTTGAAGGTTAAAACCAGCACCTTAAACCTGATCCTGTACTCCACCGGGAGCCAGTGCAGCTGGTATAGCACCGGATGAATGTGATCCCGCAGTGAAGACCCCGTAAGGAGTCTCGCTGCGGCATTCTGCACCCGCTGGAGTTTCTGGGTCAGTCTCAAGGGCAGCCCCACGTAGAGCGAGTTACAATAATCCAGTCTGGAGGTGACCGTCGCGTGGATCACAGTGGCTAGGTCAGGGCGAGAGAGGTAAGGAGCCAACTGCTTAGCTTGGCGGAGATGAAAAAATGCCGCCTTTGTTATAGCTGCAATCTGCGCCTCCATGGAGAGGGAGGTATCGAAGATTACACCCAAACTCTTAACGGACGGTGCTGGCACTAATTGCACCCCCGCAAGAGATGGGAGTTGCCCCCTCAATCCCATATCGTCCCGTCCCAGCCAGAGGACCTCTGTCTTCGAAGGATTTAACTTCAACCGGCTCCCACGTAACCATCCAGCCACAGCCTCCAAGCATCTGATCAGTGTGTCTGGGGCCGAGTCAGGATGGCCATCCATCAACAGATAGAGTTGGGTGTCATCAGCATACTGATGGCAGCCCAGCCCAAAACTCCGGACAAGCTGGGCGAGGGGGCGCATAAAGATGTTAAAAAGCATCGGGGAGAGAATCGCACCCTGAGGCACTCCACACACCAAGGAGTGGCGGGATGACAGTTCCCCCCCAAGCGCCACCCTCTGTCCCCGACCAGAGAGAAACGAGCGCAGCCATTGAAGGACTGTGCCCTGGATCCCCACGTCGGCGAGGCGGTGGTCCAGAAGTTCGTGATCAACCATGTCGAAAGCTGCTGACAGATCTAGAAGAATCAGCAGCCCCGACCCGCCTCGATCCAGCTGTCTACGAAGATCATCTGTTAGGGCGACCAGAGCCGTCTCGGTCCCATGACCAGCGCGATCAAGACTCTAGTCCTTATGGTTCTTTTTAAAAAAGCAGTTGCATTAAATAGGAAGTTGGTCCATCTAGCTCAGTGTTGTTGGCACTGACTGGCAGCAGCTCTCCTACGTTTCAGGCAGGGGACATTCCCTGCCATTGAGTACTGAATCTGGGACCTTGTGTAAGACTGAATCAGATAAGTGATTCTGCTTGGCAGGTGGTTGGACTCGATGGCCCTTGTGGTCTATTCCAACTCTATGATTCTATGATTCTAAGTGCTGGAGATGCAAAGAGGTGGAGGGAACGTTCTTTCATATGTGGTGGACTTGTAAAAGGGTAAACGAGTACTGGGAAATGATCCATCATGAATTGAAAAAAAATGTTTAAAAGTACTTTTCCCCTCCAAAAAACAGAGTCCTTTTCATTGGGGATAATTCAGACTGAAATTCCCAGGTGTCAAAAAAGGTTGTTTATGTATGCTACTACTGCAGCCTGTGTTTTGTTAGCCCCAAAATGGAAAACGAGCGAGGTCCTAGCCAAAGAAGAATGGCAACTAAAGTTGACAGAATATGTGCAGCTCGCAGGCTTAACATATAGAATAAGAGAACAAGAAGAACATACGTTTAGAGAAGATTGGAAAACGTTCGTGGAATATATGTCAAATAATTTCGTACAGCTGAAAACGCTGGCAGCATTAAGATAAATTCAACAGTGTAAATAAGTTATGATGGATGCAAAAATGGAATACTCAATGGTATAGTTTCTGTAAAACATGCAGGGATTCATGATACTGTATGTAAAATGAACCATGGAAAGAGAAGAAGGGAAGTCACTGATCTTAAGGATATAAAGATGAGTACTTTAAATGGCAAAACAGAAAATTTAATAAAAATTATATATATTAAAATAAAGCAGTGTTTCCCAAACTTTTTTGGGCAACGGCACACCTGTTTACTGAAAAAAAATCTCGCGGCACACCACCATTAAAGCCCCGCCCCGTGACGTCAGCGCGCAGCGTCACGCCGGGAGGGACGCACGAAAGTGAAAGTTTTTTCCCTCCCCCTTGCCGGGGAACCTCCAAGCTTTGGGGGTGGGAGGAGGCAGCAGAGCGAGGGACTGAGGGACAGCGGCAACTGAGGCGGCGGCAGCTGTGGTGGTGGTGGCGGCGATAGTGGGCGGAGGAGGGGGCGGCGGGGCTTGAGGAGCCGTCGCCGGGAGTTGCTGCTGCTGTTGTTGCTGCTGCTGCCCGGACATGCCGGCCTCCTCCTCCTCCGCTGTCTCGCGCTCCTCCCTTTTGCACGCGCTGCCCCGCCGCTCGGCACCACCACCGCGGAGCCGCCCCCGGCTCGACGCGGATCCTCGCCGCCGCCGCCTCTCACCGCCCGACTCGCCCGCCTCCTTCCCACGGCACACCAGCCAATGTCTCACGGCACAGTAGTGTGCCGCGGAACACCGGTTGGGAAACACTGAAATAAAGAATCTGGGACCTTTTAGCCTTTCCACACTGATACCATGTACAGTGGTACCTCGGGTTAAGAACTTAATTCGTTCCGGAGGTCCGTTCTTAACCTGAAACTGTTCTTAACCTGAAGCACCACTTTAGCTAATGGGGCCTCCTGCTGCCGCTGCGCCACCTGAGCACGATTTCTGTTCTCATCCTGAAGCAAAGTTCTTAACCCGAGGTACTATTTCTGGGTTAGTGGAGTCTGTAACCTGAAGTGTCTGTAACCTGAAGCGTATGTAACCCAAGGTACCACTGTAAATGTTAGCTGTGACAAACCTGGGGTGCATCAGCGATCTCTGATCAAGGCAGCGTGGTTTCTGTCTCTCTCTCTCTCTCTGCCTAGGAAAAGGAAAAGTGGCGAATGCAGTTGCAGCGGGCGGAGGAAGAACAGCGCCTCCTGCTGGCCAAGCAGCGCGAGACGTCCCAGGCACAGACTGCAAGGGCTGACTGCTCTCTGGCCAGGGAGGTTGCCTTGGCATGCCAGAGACTCCGGGACCTGCTACCCCAAAAGGCCGGCCTGCCCCAGACGCTGCAAGGGTACAAGTTGGATCCAGTGGGGAGGGAGCTGAATGGCACTGCTTTTACAGAAACACGGAACTCTTCCTGGGTTGAAATTAGTTCTTTACATTTTATCTCGCCTCAACCAGCCCTAGCCACTTTCTAGCTTCCTGCCTTTCATGGACTCAGAATGGCAGAGTTGTAAGGGACCCCTGAGGGGTATCTAGTCCAACCCCCTGCAATGCGGGAATCTCAGCACATGGCTCCCCCATCACCTCTGTCTTTGGGTTGTTGTTTTTTAGCTCTGCAACCTGATTTCAGGGGTTGGGGAGGCTTTGCTTTTATTTCTCCAAAATAGCTTCACACCTTCTTGTCCTCCACATATACAGCTTACAGCTTTACTTCTCGCCTTTTGGGTGTTTTTTTAAAAAAGTTTTTTTTAAACTACAATCCTCATTGATTGGAGTGAGGGCAAACCTCAGATACAGGGGGCCGAATCCGGTTTCGAAGTCCTTAAAATATTATTTCTTGCTATCAGAGAATTGGGCATCTTATCTATGGCCCTTGTTTAGCCTGCCCATCCCACCCCCCAAGGAGTTCAGGCACACAGTTCCCCCCCCAATATGTTATCCTCACAACAACCCTGTGAGGCAGGCCGGGACAGTTGTGCTCTCTCTTTCACCCAGTGATTTTCACAGCCAGCTGGGGATGAGGCCAACAGTCCAGTCGCTAAACCATGGAAGTACCTTGTTTTTCCCCACAGGCTCACGTTGGCCTGTGGCTTTGCGGCCTGTTCGTGCATTGCGCTTACATGGAGGAAGGGATTGTGTGAATTATTTTTTTAAAAAATAATTTTTATTAGTTTTAACATATAAATTATAAAACATACCACAAAACTTCACCACTTATACAATCTTTTTTTTTTTGGACTTCCATCAGCGCCTCTGATGATCCACTGTTTTAACCGCTTTTTATGCATTTCTTAAATTCATATTGCCTTTAATTGTCTTAACTAACCCTCCTCCCCTAAATCCATTTTTGCAATAGTTCCAATAATTCTCCTCACAAAACCTCTTGCAAACCTACAAACGTAGTCTGATCATCACAAATACTTTTCATATCATCTGTAAATTTACTCCAGTCTTCTGTGAATTTCTGGTTCCGCCGATTACGAATCCTTCCTGTTAGTTTATCTAGTTCTGCATAGTCCATTAATTTCATCCTCCATTCTTCTTTTGTTGGTAATTCTTCTTGCTTCCATTTTTGTGCCAATAATATTCTTGCTGCCGTTGTTGCATATAAAAACAATTTACATTCCTTTCTATTTATATCACTTCCTACAATGCCCAGTAAAAATGCTTCTGGAGTGTGAATTTTTTTTTGGGGGGGGGGGTTGACCTGCTAAGTGACTTTGCTTTCCCCCAAAGACCCCGGAAGTCCTGGCCACTATCTCAGGCTACCTCTCTTCACCCCCCAAGGAAGCCAGCGCTCCTCTCCTCCAGCCACGCCCTCCGGGCCTTGCAAGAGGTGACAGAAGAAACTCAGCACTACCTCCGAGAACTAAAGCGTGAGGCAGAGTCGCAGAGGCACCAGGCCCTTCAGACCCAGAGGGAGAAGGTGAAGGAGGTTGAGCTGCCATCTCTTGCCTGGGGGTGGGATATACCATATTTTTCACTCTATAGGACGCACTTTTCCCCCTCCAAAAATGAAGGGGAAATGTGTGTGCGTCCTATGGAGCGAATGCAGGCTCCTTGGCTTCAGCGATAGCAACGCAAAGCCTCCGAAGCGCAGAGGGAGCGCTCCCTCCGCGCTCCGGAGGCTTCGTGTTGCTTTCGCTGAAGCCTGGAGAACGAAAGGGGTCAGTGCGCACCGACCCCTCTCACTCTCCAGGCTTCAGGCAGCTATCCACAAGCCTTCGGAGCACAGCAGGAGTTCCAGCCGCACTCCGAAGGCTTGCGGATAGCAGCCTGAAGCCCGGGGAGCGCAGCGCCAACTCCCGCTGCACTCCCCGGGCTTCAGACAGCTATCCGCAAGCCTTTGGAGAGAGGTTGCGCACAGCTAAAGAGGAAGCCAAGAGAGCCAGTGGGGTGGATCCCGCTTGCTGTCTTGGCTTCTTTGCTCTTTGTGGCTGGGGGGGGGATAATTTTTTTCTTCTTTATTTCCCGTCCTAAAAACTAGGTGCGCCCTATGGAGCGAAAAATACGGTAACTAAGGCAGCCTGGGGGCCACTGAGCAAGGAGGGTTTGGGATCAAAGAGGTTTGCTCCATTAATGATGGGAGAGAAATTGGCTGCCGGCCAGAGCCCAGAACACCAGAGTGGAGTATATAGCCCCAGCTCAGTAGGAGGCAGCTTTTGATACATCCATTCCAAGTGCAGTCCTCTAATTGTCTGGCCAACTGCTGTGACTTTTCTGCCATGTCAGGAGCGGGAGCTGAGGCAGCAGCAGGAGAAGCTTCACCTGGAGAACCAGTCGGCTCTAGATGCTCTGAAGGAGCAACTAGTTCAGGTGAGCAAAAACTGCCCCCCAATAGCTCTGTGCAGCTGTGGCTGCCTTCCTCTGGATTTTGACCGTTGTGTTTCATGCAATGTCAGAGGTAAAGGTAAAGGGACCCCTGACCATTAGGTCCAGTTGTGGACGACTCTGGGGTTGTGGCGCTCATCTCGCTTTACTGGCCGAGGGAGCCGTCATTTGTCCGCAGACAGCTTCTGGGTCATGTGGCCAGCATGACTAAGCCACTTCTGGCGAACCAGAGCAGCACACGGAAACACCTTTTACCTTCCTACCGGAGTGGTACCTATTTATCTACTTGCACTTTGACGTGCTTTCGAACTGCTAGGTTGGCAGGAGCAGGGACCGAACAATGGGAGCTCACCCCATTGCGGGGATTCGAACCGCCGACCTTCTGATCAGAGGACCTGGTTTTAAAAGAGCACCTATCCACAGCTGCACATGTAAAGAAAAATAAATGTTCAGCACACACAAATTATAAAATAGTCAGTGAAGTAAAGCTCCTCTTCTATAACTGTATAACTTCTATAACTGGTGGGAGCAGGTTCCGTAGTTCTAACTATGCACTGCTTGAAGAAATATTTTCTCTTTTCTACCTGGAACCTTCCAGCTTCATTGGTGGCCCTGAGGCAGGGATGGCCACTAATTTGGATGGCTTTAAAAGAGGATTAGCCAAATTCACGGAGGAGAGGATGGCTCCACAGTCAGAAGGAAAGGAGCAGGAGGGGAGAGGTGCTGTTGTTTGGTGGGGCTGAACACATCCCTGTAAACTGCTGGGACTCTCATTCCAAAGGCAAGGAAGCCATTCCCAGTTATCAGGAGCCCAGTTCCTGTCCCATTTGATGGAACATCAGCCAACCATTCCGGACAAAGGTCAGCCACCATCTGTGGCAACATGGAACAGGGTTGATGCTAGGCGGTAAAAATGTTTGCCAAGCCTGCAAATTCTGCTGGGGAGTCAGACCATTGGCAGCTCTCCAGGGTTTCAGGCAGGGGGTCATTCCAGATCTCCTAGCACCCTTCTTCATGAAAAGCTCTGCCACTGAGCCAGGGCAATCCGGTTCCCCTTCAGGAGCACCTGGAAGACATCGCCACCTTGCAGAGCAGCTGGGTGAAGGAGACAGCGGGGAAGGAAGACGCATCGCTGCGCCAGCAGCTGCAGAAGGACGGCGAGCAGCAAAGCCAGAGAAGTGTGGCCTCTGGGAAGGGCAGGACATCCTGCCAACTGGCCAGTGAGTTTAAGGAGGAGCTGAAGGCGGAGGTGGAGAGGTGAGGACCCCAGGAGCGATCTGAAAGTACACGTCAATTGGGAGAACAGGTTACACCATGGTGAGAGGTTTGCGGTTTCTCTCTCCCCTTGCAGGCGCCTGTCCAGGGACAAGCCCATGGATTTTCACAGGAACCTAGAGGCATCTGGTTCGGAATTCAGACAGTTCTGCATGGTAAAGTGGAAGGAGCACTTGGGAGGCGTTTGGCAAAGGCCTGCCCCCTTTGGGCCATGTGAGAGTTGGGACCCCTGCTCTGTGCACACTGAGCCATTGCCTCCATGCACCCCTCTTGTCCAGCAAGGCTGCAGTCCAGTGCTAGAGCATCAGGGAAGGGGTGTGGTTCAGTGGCAGAGCATCTGCCTTGCATGCAAAAGGTCCCTGGTTCAATCCCAGGTAGACTCCATCTGAAATCCTGCAGAGCTGCTGCCAGTCAGTGCAGATGATTCCAATCTAGATGGGCCACTGGTCTGACTTGGGTATGAAGTCTGGGCAGCCATCTTGGGGCCACATGCCGGTGGTGAGTGGAGCCCAAGGCAAAAGTGGGCGGGGCAACACATGAGTTTTTTACCTTTGTACAGTAGGTTAGTTTCCACACTCTGCCCTCCACCCAAGGGACACAATTGCAGAACAGACTCTAGCCAGACAAAAGCACTTGCGGGGAGTGTATCCTTGGGGAGAGTCTGGAAGGCCAGACTGAGCCCTGGAGGGCCTCACCCCACCTGACGTTTGTCTCCCCTAGTTGATGACCTCAGTCCTTTCTGCTGCATTTTACAGCTTTTCCTTCCTCTCTCCTACCTGCTTTCTGCAGGGCCGAAATGAATACCTGCACCCCGGCCCACTCTGTTCTCCGGCGCTGAATGCAGACCCTTTCTCCAGCCAGCGCCTCTTCAGCACCCCAAGACTGTTGCAGCACCTGCAGAGACGAATCCAAGAACTGAGGGCGGAGAATGCCCTGTATTGCAGAGGCAGCACAAGTAGCTATGGCCATTTGCGGGGAGATCTCACCTGCAGAAGCAAGGTAAGAGCTTGTTTCAGCTCTTTGGGGACAGGGGAGTAGAAAGGGCAAGGTCTTAATTCCGCAGGAGCACTGGGTGGGTGGGTGGGTGGGGGCAAACCTACCGAGAATTATTTGGCTTCCTGAGAAGCTGTTTCAGTTTTTTAAGGCAAGTTTCTAGTCCATATGGGAGCGAAGATATGCTTGAAAGTGGCCTGTGGAGAGCCGAGAAACTAAAGATTTTGAATGGCTGTCCATAGCATTTCACTGCTCTCAATGACAAGCAAAATAAAAGTTATGCATTTATTTATATTTTGTGGAGTGTATTATTTTACATAATGTGTGTGCATAGTATATTGCATTTTCCTGTATTTTCCATCATTCCACCTCATTGACTGGCCCTGGACTATGAGTTTTCTGCCTGATCCACTTTCTCCACATACGCATCATCTTACACATCCTGTATCCCACGCCCCTTCCTGCATTTCAGAGGCACCTGACATCAGAGCTCTCCTCCTCTCAGCTACACAGGAAGAGCAGCTGGAAGTAGAACAGTCTTGAGTGGGACGGAGGAGGTGTCCCAACAGTGAGGAATGGTGCTTTGTGCGGAGTACAGCAGAGGAAGGAATAACCATGACCGGAAGAGCAGATTTTGAAGCTGCTGGTTTGAGGACATCACAAGAGCTCTGAAGCTGGAGGTCCAACTCATCCAGCATCCTGTTCTCACACTGGGCAACTAGACGTCTCTGGTGGTCAATTAGATGTCTCTGGGAAGCCTGAAAGCTGGACCCGAGATATTAGTCTCTTGCAGCAAATAGTCCTGTAGCACCTTAAAGACTAACACATGTATTCTGGCATAAGCTTTCATCGGCTATAGACTGCTCCGCAAACACATGTGCCATCTGCAAGTAGGAAATTCATTTTTATAATACTAAACAGAGAGCCAGCGTGGCATAGTGGTTAGTGTCAGAGCAGGGAGAACCAGGGTTCTAAATCCCTGCTCAGCCATTAACCTCCCTGCCCATCACTGACTCGCAGACTAAACCTACCTCACAGGGTTGTTGTGAGGAAAAAATGGAGAGGGGTCAAAGCATTCATGCCACATTGAGCTCCTTCGAAGCAAAGTGGGATATAAATGTAACACATAAAATGATGCAATGGGGAACTTTAAAAAAAAAATTTAAAGTGCTGAGTTTGGGCAGCTGTTTGCAGCTAATCTGGTCAGTTGTGTGATTGTGGCTATAATTGTGCTATAATGGCAACCAAGGATGGCAAAGGGTCCCTAAGAGATTCCTCGCAAGTGGTGATAAATTTGTCAGAATAAGCCTTTATCTTTAAAAAATAATAATAGTAGGATTTCTAATCAATTTTTTGAAATGGAAGTAAAAGGAGTTCAAATTGATGATGCTGAACAAGAACTAGACAGTAAGAACTGTTGGATAGTGGAACGGTATCCCTCAGAAGGTGATGGAATCTCCTTCATTGGAGGTTTCTAGCAGAGATGGGGGTGGCACCTGTCAGGTATTTTCTTTAGCTGCAATTCCTGCATAGCAGGGGGTTGGACTAGATGACCCTTGGGGTCCCTTCCAACGCTACAGTTCTGATAAAGGTCTGGAGATGTCAAAACAAGAAACATCCCAAGTCATTTTCTCTCCCTCTTCCCTATAATGCAGGGATAGGGAACCCTTTTCCCCCTCAGTCTGAGTTTTAGTCACAGTGAGATAAGCAGAGTGTGTTGTTGCGTTTTATTTCTGGCTTTGCCAACCTGGTGTGCTTTGGATGTTTCAGACTACAACTCCCATAAGCCCCAGCCAGTGCACACACCAGGTGCATGCTTACTTTATTAAGTCAGAAATGTAGTGCAAGACTACTTTAAAGGTTACTATTATTTTAATGCGTCATGGGTTTTTTTTAAAAAAAAAAGTTCACAAGGCTTCAATAAAATGTAGACTTTATAATACATATCAAACCATAACACTCAAAATTACCATCAACTTGTAAGAAAAGTAGCCGTGCCGCCCTATAAATAGTTTTGTACAGCCAGATATTTCTGAAGTCCTTTTATACACACTTCTTTCTTCAGTGTACAACTGAGTTCAGAGGTTCTGCTCGGATATTCCCCAAGTCAAGGGCTGAATCCGTTTCTTCATCAATTTCTCCAATTACAGCCCTATAAGAAAAGAAAAGTACTGTATTGTAAACTGCTGCAGGTGAAATGCTTCAGCTCTGAAACAAAGTTGATATGCTGAAACAATATTTCTTCCACTCAGTAAGTACTGTATTTTTCCATCTATAAGACGCCCCCATGGATAAGACACTCCCATTTAAGAAAATGGGGGGAGATACTATCCGTGTATAAGACGTGCCCAGATTTTGAACATTATTTTAGAGTAATAAACCATAGTCTTAAACACGGAAAAGTACGGTATCTTTTTATCCTAACATACAGCACAGAAAAACTTAACAGGTGATTTCAATTGGTCTACTCTGGACATGATTTTGTTGGATATATAATCTATTGGTATAGTTACTTATGAACTATAAAACGGAGACATCAAAAGGGAAACTTTCTGAAATAATGTCAAGCTACAGTAGCTCAGTAGGTAAGAGCACGAGGCTCTTAATCTCGGGGTTGTGGGTTGAAGCCCCACATTGGGCAAAAGATTTCTGCATTGCAGGAGGTTGGACTAGATGATCCTTATGGTCCTTTCCAACTCTGATTCTCTGATATCCACCTGGAAAAGAATGGACTGCACTTTCATCAGACATGTAAGGTCCTTCTTTTTGCCAGGTGGAACAATCACCCCATGTGCTGTTCTGGGGGTTCTCCTGACCCCATCAGAGCCAACCTGGGGGACAGAAGGTGAACAAGTGTGTGAATGTATGTTGTGCTGGTGGGACTACTTGCGCTGGACCTACCTAGCACAACTGTTTAGTTGAATCTGGCCCCTTGAGAGCTAAGCAAATGTGTTGCTACTCATATTGCACTACCTTTAAAAAAAAAAGGAGAGTGAGGCAAACTTACACATTATCACCTCTTACAATGTACAATCCCAATACTACTTGTTCCACTCCTTGTGAAGAACTGAACACTCTTTCATGGCTTTCATCCAAAATCAAGTTGATGGTCTGATCAAAACCCTTGAGCGTTCCCTTTAAGAAATAAAAATGTAAATTGAAAAAGAATGAAGTACTCCAAACTCTCAATATTTATCTTGATTCATAAACACGTCCTAAACACAACATTACACCACTCACTATGATAAAGCTTTAATGATTAAAAGATTTTTTACGTAACCCTTCAGAGGAACTCCCTACACTAAGTGATTTTAACTTATCAATGCAATTCATTTTTCCATGGGCTCTTTTGTTTTTCCCAAACAGCAGCCTTAAAAAGTAGGAAGATAAGGCTTTTGAGAACAGTGGTCATTGATTTGCAACTTGCTGCTATTGGTATATATATATCCTGCAAAAGTTTAATCTGTTCAACTCTCAAACAGTTTCCACTCTTCTAGGATAGACATGTTTTGCAGAAGTAATAGTAAGTTATTTACAGCAAGGTTCTGAGCAAAATACTCACTTCTAGTAAACTGCCTATAACCACATAGCACCAAGGTCAGTGGCGCCTAATTCAGAACATATTTACTTGACATGTCTGATGAATTGTATTGCAATTAAACTTGCAGTCCATCAAAAGCCAAGATATGTGTGCAGCCTAAGCATCTACTTCAAAGTCTGAGGGAAAGGCCATAGTTCAGTGTTTGGAGCATCTGTTTGAATAAAGAAAAGCCCACATTCAATCCCTGTCATTTTCAGAGACCCTTGCCAGAAACCTTGGAGAACCCATGTGGGTCAGTGGAGACAGTACTGAGCTACATGGACCAATGGTTTTACTTAGTAGAAGGCAGCGTCTTGTGTTCCTAAGTGCCACTCTGCTTACAGAACTACTTGTGTATTCCTGTAAATACAACTCAATCGCCTTTAAAAGATCAGGGCTTTATTTTCCCACGTAAGTATAATCTAGTACAAAACATTTCCAATCATTTACATATTTAAAAACAGGATAAGACTTATATTTACAAGCAATTCTTACCACGATCATTCGGCCGTCTGAAGTAATTACAGCAACAGTACCTGAGACTCAAGTTAAAGAAATATTTTGAAACAACATACATATAAACAACAGGAAAATGAGTTTCCTCTGGATTTAGTGCCTTTTAAGAAGCTGAGTGTGAGGTTGAAGAGGTGTGTAGACCAGGACGTCATAGGACACAAAGAACTGAGGAAAGAGTGAGAAATTCAACCTCTTGCAATCACCAAAGCTGATAGAAAAGGTTTCCCATGCCCACCTGTTTTAAGGAATTTTTTGTGGGCGGGGTGGGGTGCCCTTGCTGTTGAGATGCAAATCTTAAGACTACAATACCATAGCTGTCAACCTTCCCTTTTTTTGCAGGAAATCCCCTTATTCCAGCGCCATTTTCCACCGCTATCCCAGATTGTTAGATATCCCGTAGACTGTCCCTGGGAAGGGTAAAGCTGCTGATCTCTTATTCTCAAGGCTGCTGATCCCTTATTTTCAAATCTGAAAGTTGACAGCTATGCAATACCCATCGACCCCTAGCAAGTGCAGCCAATCTTGGACCACAATTCCCATTTACCCCGAGCTAGAGCAGCCATCTTGGATGATTAACTAGCAAGGGCTGATGGGAGTTGTAGTCCAAAACAGCTCCCTCTTTGTGTCGCTCGGGGAGTACCTGTATCCCAAACCACCTGGAGGGGAGAAGATTGATGGAGGCTGGTTTCAAATGGTTAAAACCCATTATAAAAAAAGAGCAGTGGAAGTGGCTGCGCGCGTCCCACCCAAGGCAACCCAGCCCACAAAGGGATGGAAATTTTCGCGTGTAACTGAGGAAAAGCAGGAGCGTTAACGCGCAGGCGCAGAATTCCGCTTCAAACCAGTGTCGTCGTCCCCCCCCCTCGCCCGGTCTCATAATGCAGCCCCCCCCCCCCGACAGACAGGCCGCCCGCGGAAGGATACGGTTAATGTAGTTCTCCAACGCGGAGGTCATGGCGGCAATCCTTCCCGGCTCCCGCTGAATCCAGTTCCCGCGAGACTTCCCGGTATCTCGCGTGAAAGTGAGCGGAGGCGGCCCCTGAAGCAAATCGACATCCGGGGATTCAAGCGGCGCATGCGTAGAGACGCTTTTGTGTGTGCGTAGAGATACTATAGATAGGGAAAAAAGGGATAAGCAACGCCTTCTGCCGGAGACGGAACTTCCTGGTTCCTTCTGGAGTTTCTCCACGACCGCCCCAATAGAAAACTATGATGGGTGCCAGAGAATCGTGTGTGTGTGTGTGTGTGTTGGGGGGGGCTGTATTTGCACCAGCTGTGATAGGATAATAGCACCGTGTCTTGCCCCCTCCTCGAACCCACACAATACTAGAAGCAAAGGCTTCTAGATAGAGATAGGAAAAGGAAAGAGCACGGCTGTTTTGCAAGGTAAGTGCAGCCACCCATTTATTTATTATATTAGGGTTTCTATACCGCCCTTCGCCAGCGGGCTAACACACAACACATTCGTACTGCATAATATAAAACACAGGGCACGGAAAAATCAAAACAAGTATAATAATAATAATAATAATAATAATAATAATAATAATATAATATTAATAATAATAATAATAAATGCACTGTTCTGCCCGAATTCTCCTGGCAGCAACAGCATAAAAAGACAAGAAAATCAGCAAAAGGTTACCTGAAATACAAAGCCAGCACACTAATGCAGGTTTAACTTAAAAGTGTGACCCCTCCCTTGAATTCAGTAAGACTTACCTCTGAGTCGGCATGGTCAGGAGTCTGCTGAAAGTATATATAAGAGCCATTGAACTGAATGGACCTAAATAAGTCACGTGTGCATCGATTTCAATGGGTCTGCTCTGATTTGGGTGAGACTAAGCTCGGATGCAATCCTTGGGAGGTTTGGGTTTCTTTGACTGGTTTCCTATATGGAGAGCCTGGCTGCTGGATCAGACCCTCTAGCCCAACATCCTGTTCCCACGGTGCCCAAAGCAGATGCCCCAAACGGAACGCAAGCAGAAAATGAACACCACAGAAACTGTCCCTACTTGGGGGTGATTTTCCAGCAAAAATGACATTTTCTTTGCGTTATTGTCTCTGGCCCCTTATGCAATGTTTTTGCCTCTTGACTTGAATGATCTCATCCTAATCCCCACTTAGACGCGTAACGGGTACAACTTCGCACCCTTCCCAACACTGCAAGCCGGATCTGCTGTTGCTGCGCTTGGGGCGCCTCTCCTGCTCGGGAGAAGGGGCTGCCGGCCAGGGGGTGGCGGTGTGCGGATCTCCTGCCTGCCTGCCGGGGTGCTGCTGCTGCTGCCGCCGCCGGGGAGGAAGGGGTTAAAGCGCTGTACGCTTTGCGGAAAACCCCCGCCGCCTTTTCACTCTGAACCTGCACTGCTGGGGAGACGGAGGAGCGATCGGGAGCGGTTTTTACGCCTCCTGCTTCCTCTGGTCTGCTATTATTTTAAAAGGGCTGGTCGGGATTCCGATCCGGATTGAGCCAAGCGGTGTGATGTGAACGCAATCACTCCCCTTTTTTATATATACTGTAGTTACCACTTTTTGCAAAAGCGCTTAAGACAACCGCTGGCATAGCAGCAGCAGCAGCAGCAGCGGATTGCAAGCCACAGCGGCCCCGATCCGCAAAAGGGGATGCTTTTCCTCGCGCAATGGGACTACTCGTGGGTAAGTGCTGACCATCTCAGCTGGCAGACCGGGAAGGCCCCAGTTTACAGCAAAGGCGGGCTTTCTTTAAAATCAAAGGAAACGAAATGAAAAGTCTCGCTGAGTCCAGTTGGGCTTGCTCCTGAGTAAGCCTGCATTTGACTGAAGCTGTAAGTGTCCGCGAGTTTGGGTGGACTTTGGGTTTACTTTCAGAGATGGCTAGTCCACTCCGAAAAACACTCTGAGTTAGGCATCCCACCAAAATGGGAGAAATCTCTAACATTCCTGGACATGTTACAGATAGGTAGCCGTGTTGGTCTGCCATAGTCAAAACAAAAAAAATTCCTTCCAGTAGCACCTTAAAGACCAACTAAGTTAGTTCTTGGTATGAGCTTAAGATATCAGTCTGTACCTGGACATGAAAAGCAAACCTGGTTTAATTTACCTTAAAAAAACCCAAAACCTTAATTTTTGGTAGGTGTCTAAAGACTCACTCACTTGCCCACCTACAAATTCGTTTACGAATTGCAGCTATAGCTATAGGGGAAAGGTGTGTGGTTTACTTGAGTCGCTTTAATTTTACAGCATCTTGACTTTCCCCCCCTTTAAAAATTACATCCTACTTATGGGGATGTGGTAGTTGTACATTAGAATCATAGAGTTGGAATAGACCACAAGGGCCATCGAGTCCAACCCCCTGCCAAGCAGGAAACACCATCAGAGCACTCCTGACATATGGTTGTCAAGCCTCTGCTTAAAGACCTCCAAAGAAGGAGACTCCACCACACTCCTTGGCAGCAAATTCCACTGTCGAACAGCTCTTACTGTCAGGAAGTTCTTCCTAATGTTTAGGTGGAATCTTCTTTCTTGTAGTTTGGATCCATTGCTCCGTGTCCGGTTCTCTGGAGCAGCAGAAAACAACCTTTCTCCCTCCTCTATATGACATCCTTTTATATATTTGAACATGGCTATCATATCACCCCTTAACCTCCTCTTCTCCAGGCTAAACATGCCCAGCTCCCTTAGCCGTTCCTCATAAGGCATCATTTCCAGGCCTTTGACCATTTTGGTTGCCCTCCTCTGGACACGTTCCAGTTTGTCAGTGTCCTTCTTGAACTGTGGTGTCCAGAACTGGACACAGTACTCCAGGTGAGGTCTGACCAGAGCAGAATACAGTGGCACTATTACTTCCCTTGATCTAGATGCTATACTCCTAGATTGTTGACAGCTGGTCTTTGGGAACAAATTCTGTAGCTCTGTCGGCTGCAGTCATCCACTTACCTGGGAGTAAGACTCACTGAGCCACTGTAGTGCAGCAGTCAGAGTGGGTTAGAGTGTCGGACCTGGATCTGAGAGACCACAGTTGAAATCCTCACTTAGCCATGAAAATCACTGGATGACCCCAGGCCAGTCACTGTCTCGTAGCTGAACCTACCTCCCAGGGTTGTTGTGGGAACTGAAGAGGGGGAGAACCATGGATGCCACCGTGAGCTCCCTGGAAGAGAGGTAAAAGGTAAAGGTACCCCTGCCCATACGGGCCAGTCTTGCCAGACTCTAGGGTTGTGCGCCCATCTCACTCTATAGGCCGGGAGCCAGCGCTGTCCGCAGACACTTCCGGGTCACGTGGCCAGCGTGACAAGCTGCATCTGGCGAGCCAGCGCAGCACACGGAACGCCGTTTACCTTCCCGCTGTTAAGCAGTCCCTATTTATCTACTTGCACCCGGGGGTGCTTTCGAACTGCTAGGTTGGCAGGAGCAGGGACCGAGCAACGGGAGCGCACCCCGCCGCGGGGATTCGAACCGCCGACCTTTCGATCAGCAAGTCCTAGGTGCTGAGGCTTTAACCCACAGCGCCACCTGCGTCCCATGGAAGAGAAGGTGGGGTCTAAATGCAATTAAAATAATAAAAACTCAACTAGGTGTTACTCCTGAGTAAACACGTCATAGAGCAACCCGATATAGCCACTTTCCGGCTGGGGCTGATGAGAGTTGTCTTTCAAATATCTGGAGGGCTCCAGGTTGATGAAGCCTGTCTCTTAACATCTGCCTGCATGTTGACAGGCTACTTTGGGGAATAGGGTCTGATACCAATATCTGGCAATATTCGGGGTTATCTACTGCCTCTGACCCTTAGGGCAGTTCGTTATTTATTTTGAGATATGTATCTTGCTTTTCTGCTCCAGAATGACTAACCCCGTATTTTTAAAAAGAAATTCTGAATTAAAAAGAAAGAATCAGAAGGACCACAGAAAATTTGCAAAGGGAGAAGATGGATTGCATTGTATGAAGTTATTTGTCACTTTGCCGTAAGTGAGCGATGCTTTGCGTGAAAAGCATCCTTTTGTCTGCCTGCCTGGAGCAGTGTTGTTCCCAAACTTGGGGCTCTAGCTGTTTTTGGACTACAGCTCCCATCATCCCTAGCTAGCAAGACCAGTGGTCAGGGATGATTGGAATTGTAGTCCAAAAACAGCTGGAGACCCAAGTTTGGGAAGCACTGGCCTAGAACAACGTTCCCCAACCTGGTGTCCTGCAGACATTTTGGAGTACAGATCCCACAAGCTCCAGCCAGTTTAACATTTCCTTGGGTGAGCTATATAGATTATATATCAGTAATCTTATTGACACACACTCTCATAAAGTGGTAAACTTCTCACATGTGGCCCCTTACTTCTCTAGCTGTGGACATCCAACAAAGATGGATGGTGGAAAATTCAGGCCGGACAAATGAAAGCACTTCTCCACTCAGCACATAGTTAAACTGTGGAACTCACTGCCACAGGAGGCAGTGATGGCCACCAGGTTCGATGGCTTTAAAAGAGGATTGGACAAATTCATGGAGGGGACAGCTATCCATGACTGCTAGCCACAAGGGCTTTGCTGTGTCTCCAGGTCCTGAGATCAGTTGCTGGAAACTACAAGAAGGGAGAAGGTTGTTGTGTTTGAGTCCTACTTGATGGCTTCCCATCAAGGCATCTGGGTGGCGCCTGTGAGAACAGGATGCTGGACCCGATGGGCCACTGGCCAGCAAACTCTCCTTATGGAATGGATCACAGATTTAAATTGTTTTGAGACTCCTGGGTATTGCAGCTTGTTGAGGGTGTTGCAAACTCAGTTGAAGATTACACCCCCTCTCCCAATACAGTGCTACAATTCCCAGGCTGTGCAGCAGTTATTAAACTTCAGAATCTTAAGATGTGCATATGTTCCGAAATATTCCAATTTCCAGCCTTTTCATAATATTAATTTTGGAGCTCAGTGTTTCTCAAACCCGGTGCAAGTTCTGGCTGATGCTGATGGCAGTTATCGTCCAAAACATCTGGAAGGCACCAGATGAAGGAAGCCTGGATTAAGGAAATGTCACACTTCTAGCAATCCTAAGCAGGTTTACTCAGAAACAACTCCCGCTGAGCTCAGCGGGGCTTAATCCCCAGTACCTGCAATTTTGCAGCCCTTTTGATGATGTAAATGTGTGGGTTTTGCCAGCCTTACCCAAAATAGCAAGGCGGGAAGGAGAACTCAGTAGCTGTTTATTTGCATATGTTAATTCATTTAAATGTATGCACATTTTAAAAACAGCCTATTGTCTAAGACTGGGGCTTGCCACTTTGTCCAGAGAAAGAGAGAGGGAGGCAGACGCTGCTGTTTGCATAGAACATGTAAATGGGTGCATATTTTGTTGGCATAGAACATTTAAATGGGTGCATATTTACATTTCCCTGAACAAGGATGCTGAGATGGGCGAGGAGAGGAGGGGGAGGGGAGGGAAGGGACCCTGTCAGGCAGGTTTGAAGCACAGCTGGTCCTGATTCTGTCTAGGTGCTGGGAGCACCTGGAATGGATGTGCTTTTGAGCTGCCTTCGGGAGTGCTAGGGTGATGCTGGGCAGGATGTCAGATAAGGCACCGGAGAGTCAGGGGGGCTTCTTTAGTAAATGGAAGAAGGCAGCTCTTGACTTCTGATTGCATCCTAAGGAACATCATTGCTGCTACTTTCCGTTCAGGGATTATCAGCACAGTTCTCTCCAGATGTTGTGGACTACAGCTCCCAGTGATGGCCGGCTGACCGGCTACACACGGACGAAGGCCGCCATGGAAATGCTTTGGCAGCCAGAGAGCTGCGACTTATTTGCATGCTTAATCTTGTACATTGCTCATGCTGTTTTGTGTGCAATTTGCATGAATGAGCTGGACATAGGGCCCGGCTTTTGAAACGCCCACTGGTTGCGTGAGGCTGGTTTCTGCAGCTTTTTTCCCAAGGATGGAACCTTTGGTTTTTTTAATATAAAAAGGGCGATCTTCTTAAGATGCTTTAGAAACAGGTCTATTAAAATGAAGACCTATTCACCTCGCTGATGCTATAAAGGGGCAGTGGCAAGCAGACTCACAATTTAGGATTGCCTCCCCTCCATCTGTAGCACTGTAAGGACATATATTCACTGAAAGTGCTGTGGTACCTCGGGTTACATACGCTTCAGGTTACAGAAATCGTGCTCTGGCGGCGCGGCAGCAGTGGGAGGCCCCATTAGCTAAGGTTAAGAACAGTTTCAGGTTAAGAACGCACCTCCGGAACGAATTAAGTACTTAACCCGAGGTACAGTGGTACCTCAGGTTAAGTACTTAATTCATTCCGGAGGTCCGTACTTAACCTGAAACTGTTCTTAACCTGAAGCACCACTTTAGCTAATGAGGCCTCCCGCTGCCGCCGCGCCGCTGCTGCACGATTTCTGTTCTCATCCTGAAGCAAAGTTCTTAACCTGAAGCACTATTTCTGGGTTAGTGGAGTCTGTAACCTGAAGCGTATGTAACCTGAAGCATATGCAACCCGAGGTACCACTGTACATTTATTTCTCCTACAGCCTGATAGAAGGAGTGCTGTAGACATCTCATATGTTGGTGCCCTGACAGTTCAAAGCTGGCTGATGCGGACCAATCATGGATTCCCCCAAAGAATTCTGGGAGCTGTTGTTTGCTAAGGATGCTGGGAATTGCTGGGAGACTTCCGTTTCCCTTGCAGATCTACAGTTCCCAGAGTGGCTTAACAATCAATCTCTCTTCCAAGGAACTCTTATATACCGGTAATTGTAGCTCTGGGGTGGAAATGGGCACCTCCTGACAAGTCTCAGCACACTTTACAACTCCCAGAATTCTTTGGGGGAAGGCATGACCCATAGCGCTTTAAATGTGAATGCGTGAACGTCGCCTGCTTCTTTCTTCAGTAGTGATGGGAAGAAGGACGAGGAGACAAGGCGAGTGTTGAAGGGGATATCAGTGCACCCGACAGCATGTCATGCATGCACAGACGGGCTGCAGCACTGCTAAGGGTGGACTCCTTGACAGGGAGCAGCCCTCACTTTGAAGGCATCTCCTCTCTGAAGGCTTGTCTGGTTTCAGGAGAAAGATTCCTGGAGAAAGGAGAGGGGCTTGAACTGCCTGAGACTGAGACCTTTTGGTTTCGGCCTTCCCTGTTATGGTGAGGGTTTTATTTACTTTTGCCTGAACTACAGTGGTACCTCAGGTTACACACGCTTCAGGTTACAGATGCTTCAGGTTACAGATTCCGCTAACCCAGAAATAGTGCTTCAGGTTAAGAACTTTGCTTCGGGATGAGAACAGAAATCGTGCTCCGGCTGCGCGGCGGCAGCAGGAGGCCCCATTAGCTAAAGTGGTGCTTCAGGTTCAGAACAGTTTCAGGTTAAGTACGGACCTCTCGAACGAATTAAGTACTTAACCCGAGGTACAGTCATTATTTCTAAACTGGCATCCCTACGTATGCATTAGCACATGCAGTTTTTGCATAGATCTGCCTCTTCCTTTGTCCTCCCTTTCTCCAATGTTGTAAGTTGCGACCACAGTTGCTCTCCAACACCGATTGACTTTCCTGCCTCTTCTATTTTTGGAGACTTCTTGCTGCCTTCTTCTACAACCACAATGTTTACACCCTCCAATGGACATGCAGGTCAGAAATCCAAGAGGGCAAGGATTCAGAGGGGGATTCTGTTACTGCAATTTCAATAGAAATGCAATTCTTCCCAGGGAAGACTGTGGACAGGTGCTGCTGTGGGCCTGTATGGGTCTGTTGACCAGGGTCGGCGGTTTGAATCCCCGCAACAGGGCGAGCTCCTGTTGCTCTGTCCCAGCTCTTGCCAATCTAGCAGTTTGAAAGCACATCACTGCAAGTAGATAAATAGGTACCATTCTGGCGGGGAGGTAAACAGCATTTCTGTGTGCTCTGGCTTCCATCATGGTGTCCCATTGCGCCAGAAGCTGTTTAGTCATGCTGGCCCATGACCTGGAAAGCTGTCTGTGGAGGACAAATGCCGGCTCCCTCAGCCTGAAAGTGAGATGAGCACCACAACCCATCCAGGAGTCCTTGACCTTTTAATTGTAGATGGTCAATTTTGAACCCCTGCCACACTCTCCCACCTTTGAGTATTTTCAAAACTGATTTGGAGTGGTTGGTTCTTCACATCCTCTGTGACATACAGTGGTGCCTCGCAAGACGAAAAGAATCCGTTCCGCGAGTCTCTTCGTCTTGCGGTTTTTTCGTCTTGCGAAGCAAGCCGCTTAGCGGATTAGCGCTATTAGCGGCTTAGCGGGCTTAGCGGATCAGCTGATAAGCGGCTTAGCGGATCAGCTGATAAGCGGCTTAGCGGCTTGGGGAAAAGGGGGGGAAAGGGAAAAAAAACCTGCAGGAACTCGCAAGACATTTTCGTCTTGCGAAGCAAGCCCATAGGAAATTCGTTTTGCGAAGCACCTCCAAAACGGAAAACCCTTTCATCTAGCGGGTTTTCCGTCTTGCAAGGCATTCGTCTTGCGGGGCACCACTGTATTACAATTTGAATTTTAGAAGGCATCTGAAGGCAGCCCTGTACAGGGAAGTTTTTCATGTCTGAGGTTTTACTGTATTTTTAACCTTTTGTCAGGAGCCACTCAGAATGGCAGGGACAACCCGGTCAAATGGGCAGCATATAAATATTGACATTATTATTAGTAATATTCACCAGAAGCTGGATAATGAAGGTGCCAGATGCGTCTCTGTGGCAGGGAGTTCCACAGGTTGGGGGCTGCCACAAAGAAGGCCCTCCCCCAGGCCGCCACCCCCTAAGTCTCTGAGGGAGGAGGAACAAACAAGAGGACCTGCTCTACCAATCTTAGCACCTGGTGGGATTGATAGAGAAGGAGGCAGCCTTTAGGGTATTTGGGGCCTGAGTTGTTTGGAGCTTTAACAATGGGGGATGCCTTCGCCTAAAGGACCTCCCATGTGGCAGCCTTTCTCAGAGGACTGTTCTCTATAAAGTAGGACACACCTTATTCTACGGGCTTCTCTACGTGCCCAGAGGCACTTCCATGTCTGACAGCAGCCAGTCTTTTTAACGATTGTTCTGCACTGCTTTTAGCATTTTTGAGAAAATGTTTCTTTTATGCTGCCGTATACCACTGTGATGCTTTATGAGAGGGCAGTATACAAATACTTTAATGAATAAATAGCATTTATGCCAGGCCTTGATGACGGGCAGCTGAATGTGTGAACTGGCCCCTAGTGGGGGCACCAGTGGTACTGCCGCCATTTTAATTTCCCAGAATGCCCCTGATATAGCGTCTCAACAAATAAAAATGGTGGCGATCAGATCCAGCTGACCAGGTCAGAGGGTCCAGGATCTGTGGGTCTCATGGGGGTAAACTGGACCCTGGGAGATGCCTGAGGGAGCTGGCTGCTGATGCCAGGCCAGCCAGGGGGCCCTGTGAATAGTGCTATGTGGAAGCTGGGCTTTGGTGGGTAAGCAAAGATCATGGAGTGTGTTAACTCGCCTGGGGTTAGGAGCCGGTTCTTCCTGGGGCTCCTTCTTGACTCAAGTCGGCAACCTCCCACTGCAAAGAGAAACATCCCTGCTGTGGGGCTGCGTGCCAGGAAACGGTCTCTCCATCTGCTGCCTTCCGCCCCATTGCAGAATCATTTCGATGCAACGACAGAGAGAACACGTGATTCAACGAAGCATTTGCAAATTCCCTGTATGCAAACGAGTTCTTCTTCCTCCCCGGAGCAAAGGAGCGATTTGCATAAGCTTCATGCAAATTTATTCAAAGCCACCAACGCCTTTGAGTTTCTGAAACTTGCAATTTGCAGTCATGCCTGCCTCTTTCCCCCGCCCTCCCTCCCCTCTGTTTTCTCTCCCCCACCCCACCCCCAGGCATCAAAACTAAAATTGGAGCCCTCCTCTTGACGCTCCCCTCTGCTACTGAAGGACGTCCCGCAGAAATGGATCCACCTAGCCCTCGGTGGTGACTCCACCCAAGACCTCCCCACGGGTTTTTTTTGAGGCAGGTAAACCGTTGACGGCCCTGTTCAGAGGAGCATCGGCTTCAGAGATGGCTGGGGCTGCTGGGCTCGCACTCTGGGTAAGAGGCTCTTGCCCTTTTGTGTAAAAGCTTCTGTCAGTTCTGCATGTTATCAGTTAGGATGTCTGTAGTGCCATCATTGTAACTGACCTGTAATGGAAGCAAAAAAACAGACAGGTCCCTGCCTCAATGAGTACAGTCAATGTTCTCATCGACTGAGCTTCATACAAGTGGGGCGTCACTTTCACATCTGTTCTTGGTGTCAAAAGGCCCCAACATTGTGTGTGTGTGTGTGTGTGTATAAAGGTAAAGGTACCCCTGCCCATACGGGCCAGTCTTGACAGACTCTAGGGTTGTGCGCCCATCTCACTCAAAGGCGGGCAGCGGGAGACACTTCCGGGTCACGTGGCCAGCTTGACATCGCTGCTCTGGTGAGCCAGAGCCGCACACGGAACGCCGTTTACCTTCCCGCTAGTAAGCGGTCCCTATTTATCTACTTGCACCCGGGGGTGCTTTCGAACTGCTAGGTTGGCAGGCGCTGGGACCGAGCAACGGGAGCGCACCCCGCCACGGGGATTCGAACCGCCGACCTTTCGATCGGCAAGCCCTAGGCGCTGAGGCTTTTACCCACAGCGCCACCCGCGTCCCTTGTGTGTATGTGTGTGTGTAAAATCCACACCCCAACATTTAGAAAATACCTGGATTATTATAGAATTGTAGAGTTGGAAGGGACCGCGAGAGTCCTCGTCCAACCCCCTGCAATGCAGTAATCTTTAGCCTAATCTGAGGCTCAAACCCACATCCCTGAGACCAGGGGTCAGCAGACTTTTTCAGCAGGGGGCCGGTCCACTGTCCCTCAGACCTTGTGGGGGGCCATACTATATTTTGAAAAAAATAAATAATGAATTGCTATGCCCCACAAATAACCCAGAGGTGCATTTTAAATAAAAGGACACATTCTACTCATGTAAAAACACGCTGATTACCAAACTGTCCATGGGCCAGATTTAGAAGGCGATTGGGCTGGCTCCAGCCCCCGGGTCTTAGTTTGCCTACCCATGCCTGAGACTCTTGAGCCACAGAGGTGTGGAGCATGGCTTGACACTGCTTTGAGAGCCAGTGTGGCATAGAGGTTAGAATGTTGGATCGGGACCTGGGAGAGTCCAGGGTTCAAATCCCCCATTGAGCCATGAAGCTGACTCTCAGCTTAATTTCCCTCTCAGGGTTGTTGTGGGGAATTTAGTGAGGAGATGGAAAACCAGCTATTGCCGCCTTGAGCTCCTTGAAGAAAGAGGTAGGATATCAATGTATCAAATAAATCAATAAACGAACGAATTCCTCTTTCAGGACCCAGTGACTTTTGACGAAGTGGCCATTTACTTTTCCCCAGAGGAGTGGGCAGAGCTGGCAGATTGGCAGAAAAATCTCTATAAGGATGTGACAAGAGCCAGCTACGAGATGCTGGTTTCATTAGGTAAGCTATTTGCTGTTTATTGGATGGCTCACGGGTTGTGCTTACCCGATGAATTTGAAGGGCTCCAAAAGGCAAGAGGTTTTTTCACTTCAGTTATAATTAATATCCCATTTTGGACTTTGAAAGCTTTGGGCCTCCAAATGTTGCTGGGGTACAGCTCCCATCACCCTGACCATTGGCCATGTTGGTTGGGACTGATGGGGTTTGGCATCCCACCTCAAACCTCTCAGAGCTGTGTATCTCCAGAGCAGTCAAAACTGTGCTGTTATAGTTTTGCTGTAGTGATGTATGGAAGTGAGAGCTGGACCATAAAGAAGGCTGATCGTCGAAGAATTGATGCTTTTGAATTATGGTGCTGGAGAAGACTCTTGAGAGTCCCATGGACTGCAAGAAGATCAAACCTATCCATTCTGAAGGAAATCAGCCCTGAGTGCTCACTGGAAGGACAGATCCTGAAGCTGAGGCTCCAGTACTTTGGCCACCTCATGAGAAGGGAAGACTCCCTGGAAAAGACCCTGATGCTGGGAAAGATGGAGGGCACAAGGAGAAGGGGGCGACAGAGGACGAGATGGTTGGATAGTGTTTTCGAGGTTACCAGCATGAGTTTGACCAAACTGCGGGAGGTAGTGGAGGACAGAGGTGCCTGGCGTGCTCTGGTCCATGGGGTCACGAAGAGTCGGACACAACTAAACGACTAAACAGCAACAACATAGTTTTGCTGCTCTTGCAATGGCTCCCACCAGCCCTGACCATTGGCTCTGCTGACTGGGAATGGCAGGAGATCTGCAGCATGCAGAGGACTCTGCATTGGCCACTCCTGCTGTAGACCATACCCAGCTAGACTGATCAGTGAGAGACCATGTGGTATAGTGGTTAGAGCTGGGGTGGGCAATTTTTTTTATCCACAAAGCTCAACAACTTTGGTCGGCATGTTCAGTTCATCAAATCTGGCCCTCTTTGAAAAAAATTTGGGCACCCCTGTCGTAAACTGAATCGTTCGTAAACAGGACTGTTCTTAAACCGAGGTACCACTGTACTTTAAAAAAAAGCACTGAGGCAGGGGCAAAAAGTGAGGGGGTGTGCCGTCTTGTTCTTTGCCTCAGGTTACATAATGTCTTGGGCTGGTCCTCAAGTGCCCTATCAATCTCCACTTTACTAGGCCTCGCCTTACAGAAGCCCGACATCATTTTGAGAATCGAGCGAGGGGAGGAGCCTTGCGTGGGGAGTCTCCAGACCTCAAAGGCAAGAGAGGTTGCACACCACAGCATCTTTGGTGAGTCCCAGGCTCATAGATCAGAATATTGGGAGCTTCTGGTTGCTCTGAAGATGGCTGCCAAATCCAGTGTGCCAGTACGGCGGGAGATGTGCTCTACATTGCATGCTCGCATGGTGTTACTGGGAAGAAAAGTGTACTGAAGATTTCCTTGTCTCTAGAAGCAAATGGTGTTGCAGGCTAAATGTTTTATTTTGCTTAAGAGGAGGACGGGGACCCCTTTCTGCCTCAAGGGCAACAGGCTTTCCAGAGCAGCTTTCCAGGGGCCACTTGCTGGAATGGGTGAAGGAGAAATTTGGGTTGCCTTGAAAGGGGAACCCTTCCGAATTTGTGTTCTTTGCAACAATACACAAACCGAATCACAGGTCCTGCCCCTCGAAATTCGCACATCTCTGAATTGTGCAATGTGACGTGTACAAAATTGCATACAGTGGTACCTCGGGTTAAGTACTTAATTCGTTCCGGAGGTCCGTTCTTAACCTGAAACTGTTCTTAACCTGAAGCTAATGGGGCCTCCCGCTGCTGCTGCGCCGCCGGAGCACGATTTTTGTTCTCATCCTGAAGCAAAGTTCTTAACCCGAGGTACTATTTCTGGGTTAGCGGAGTCTGTAACCTGATTGGGCCCTAGAGCTGCCCAATCAGCATGAAGTCTTCACGTCCTTTGTGCTGATTAGAGCCAATCAGAGTGTAAGGAGGTGGGTCAGCCACTGAGGATTGGCTCCTAGGGCCACTCTGGAGAAGGCGTGCAGAAATAATTAATTAATTAATTAATTAATTAATCCATCTACCCTGCCCCTCTGACAGGGTTACCTCAGCTACTCTGGGCAGCTTCCAACAAAATACAAGGGGACCAGAAGAAAAAAACCACATCAAACATTAAATGTTTCCTGAAACAGGGCTGTCTTCAAATGTCCACAAAAAGTCATTTAGGTTTTTTTAGCACTGAGGAGAAATAGTTCTGTATGCTCCAAAAGCTAAGCATTTAGGAACCCTGAAAAGACAAGGGACTTCACTTTCAAGAGAATGGTGTGCCAGGGTCACCATATAAACTTGAAAATTCTGGTAATGTCCAGGGGATGGGGGCTAATTTGGTGCCCTCTGTCTGCCTCTGCCAATCACCCTGCAAAAAGCTGAACAACTAAGCAACTGTGTCTGTACTTTTACTTCATGAAATAGGGCAACCCTAAATTAGAAGGTTATTGTATAACCTTAGAAAAGGAATCGGTTGCGAGGAGGAGTTGCTGTGACTATTACGAAGGGCCCTTGCACTTCTGGATTTGCTGCTATGCTACTGTAACATGGTCCCTAAGGCTGGAACTCTCCACACTGGGTGGTGGTAAAAAGGCAGGTTTTTAACCCTTCTTGATCAAAACGTAGTCAGGTCTTCTGTTGTGATCTCACCAGTTTTCTGTTGGCTCACATACAACCTTTCACTCTTGTCTCCTGTTGTTGCAGATGGCCAAATCCTGATTAAGAAAGAATCCTGCCTCGAGGAGCAGCCACCATGCTGTGTGGGGCACCCAGAGGTGCTGAAGGCAGGCCCGAACAACGGGACCTTTGGTGAATTTTCCACGTGGCCAGGGAGCCACCTTGGGGCCAACTCGGCTGTGAATGGAATGGCCGCTCTGCCACCTTGGTCCACTAAGCTCCAGTGGCAGAACGTGCAGGTGCCCCCCGTGGAATTTCAGGTGGGGCACCCAGGGGTCTCTGGCAGCGCTTTCTGGCCTGCCGGTGTCACGGTGCCCCCACCTAGCACCTACGAGGAGACGCTGCTCATCTGCACCCAGTGTCAGAAATGTTTCCCTGCCCGCTCGGCTCACGGCACCCCCTCCGGGGGAGAAGCGACGCAAGTCTGCCCCGAGTGCGAGAGCAGCAGTGGCCACAAGGGCACTCCCGCCGCGGCAGACCCGCGAAGCCACAACGCAACGATGCAGCCCTGCTCTTGCAGCCACTGTTTGGGGCTTGGCGTCCGCCAGAGAGTCCCTAAGGAGGAGCGGCCCTACAAGTGCGGCAAGTGCGAGAAGAGCTTCCGCTTCGTCCACGAATACACGTGGCACCAGAAGGTCCACGCCGGCGAGAAGATCTACAAGTGCGGCGTGTGCGAGAAGGTCTTCCGCCACAAGCAGGAGCTGATGTGGCACCAGCGGGCGCACACGGCCGAGTGGCCCCACAAGTGCGGGGTGTGCGGGAAGAACTTCCGCTTCAAGCAAGAGCTGACCTGGCACCAGAAGACGCACTCGGTGGAGCGCCCCTACAAGTGCGCCGAGTGCGAGAAGAGCTTCCGCTTCAAGCAGGAGTTCATGTGGCACCAGCGGGCGCACGTCGGGGACCGCCCCTACAAGTGCACCGAGTGCGAGAAGAGCTTCCGCTTCAAGCAAGAGTTCAGCTGGCACCAGAGGAGCCACGCCGGGGAGAAGACCTACAAGTGCCCCGGGTGCGACAAGAGCTTCCGCTACAAGCAAGAGTTCTACTGGCACCAGAGGATCCACACGGGCGAGCAGCCCTACCCCTGCGCTTCCTGCGACTCCACCTTCACCTGCCGGCAGGAATACATGCGCCACCAGAGGCTGCATGACGGCGAGAAGCCCTACCAGTGCCCGCACTGCGATAAGACCTTCCGGCGAGGGTCCACCCTGATCCGGCACCGGCGGATCCACATGGGAGAGGGGCCCTTCAAGTGCTCCCACTGCGACAGGACCTTTGGCCAGAGTGCCAACCTCATCAAGCACCAGAGAATCCACACGCTGAAGGACGAGCCTGTGGAGAACGCCCACAGAGAATGGGGCCCTTGTTTGCAGGGGGTGGGGGTCCCCTCTGTCCAGCCCGAGGCCGTCAGTGTGCTGAGCCTGAAGACGGTTTCCGTGGGGGCGCTTCTCTTGCTGAACCTCCAGGAGCCGAAGCAGGAGAAAGATCCAGCCGGGAATTCTTGGGAACCCCAAATGTGACCTCGGGTTTTTTTACAGGACCCCCTGTAAAAAAAGAAGGGGAATTGGGCTTTGTAGAGGGGAGAACAGAGAGAGATCGATTCCACACTGGTAGGAAACTCTCCAGAGTTTCGGGGGCAGATCCCCCAATGGCAGACATTACAAACTGTAAAGTAAGGCAGTGCCCTCTGAAGTGTGGAGGGAGGGGGAAAGGGACCCCCATCAAATCCCGAGGAAGAGGCAAATTCTGTTGGTGAGGCCTCTTTGGAATATGTGAAGGCAGCGCTGCCCCCAGCTGAGCTGAACGGGAGCGATGCGTTGAAGGATGTGGCTGAGGCTCTTGCTTCCATGTAGACCAGCAGCATGGTGACATCTACGTGTTTGGGACTACATGTCCCATCAGCCTCAGCCCGCATGATGGTGTGAGCTGGGGTTGATGGGAGTTGTAGTTGAAAACAGTCCTGTCAGCTGGGGCTGATGGGAGCCGTAGTCCAAAGCAGCCACATTGACTGGGGCTGTTGGGAGTTTTAGTCCAAAACAGACACATTGGCTGGGGCTGATGGGAGTTGTAGTCCAAAACAGCCACATTGGCCAGGGCTGATGGGAGTTGTAGTCCAAAGCAGCCACATTGGCTGGGGCTGGTGGGAGTTGTAGTCCAAAACAACCACATTGGCCAGGATTGATGGGAGTTGTAGTTGAAAACAGCCCTGTCAGCTGGGGCTGATGGGAGCCGTAGTCCAAAGCAGCCACATTGACCAGGGCTGATGGGAGTTGTAGTCCAAAACAGCTGCATTGACTGACGAGAGTTGTAGTCCACCAAACTGCCTGAAGGGCACCAGGTTGGATGAAGCCTCTGCGTTCACAGCCTCTGGTGGTTATCTTAGCACCACCGTAGTGCGCAATGTGATTGATTGACATTTTTGCCTGATCGTGCCAGGCTCTTCTTGGGAGACAAGGCCGCTGATAATTGTTTCTTTATAGATCTGGCACCCTGCTTATTCATCCCTTCTGTCTCAACTTGCTTTGCACCCAGAAAAAACAACAACACCCTCCTGGCTCCCAGGTAGTCGCTTCAAACTGTTGGCTGAAATCTTATTGCTGGGCCGGGGGTAGGGGTTTGTATTCAAAGTGCAGACTGAGAATACCTAAATGAGAAAGCAAAATAGCCCCTTGAGGGTGTGCTCTTGCACCTGCCCAAAAGAAGACTTGCAGGTGTTCCCTGTCAGAATTTGGAAACTGCAAGGAACAGACACCCACCCTCCCCTCTCAGAATCTCTGCATCGTTACAGTTGCTCTGAGCCTCAGTTTCCCCGACGCTTGGATTTAAGCTGGTTGGACATTTTCTCTCCAGCTCTCCCTTTTGCCACCCAAGAAGCTTTCGCCTAAAACTTCCTTGCTTTGACTTCAGTGCTGTTCCTTTTGAGCATTGGCACGGAGAGGTCCTCGCTTGGAGTGATCTGCACGTTGTAAGGTTCTTGCTTTGGGAAAACCAAACAAGCACCTGGAAATGAAAAGCTCCGTTGCCTGGGATGTTTTCCTGTACATGAACAGAAGACTTTTGCACAGCCCCTGCCTTGTTCAGTGTGTCTTGAGAAGAAAGGCACCCCGGCTGACCGTGCCGAATTTGGTCGCCTGTCTGCCTCCTTTCATAGCCACGTCCCATGATGGCTTGGAGGGGTGGATTCTGTAGTTGGGACAATACCCGAGCGCTGATGGTTTCTGCACATTGAAGCAAAAAGGCAGCAATGTAGCTACCCTGGGACCTTGCTTGCACAGCCCAATTCTGTGACAGCCTCTTACTCCAAACTGGCAACCTCCAGCACCGTTTTTAATCCCCTGGTTGACGCTGTCTTGCCGTCCTTGTGAGTTTCTGTGAAATCCGCCCGAGGCTGCTATTTTCTTACTTAAACGAGTATTTTAATGTTGAATTGTGTTTGGAAAATGTGTCATGAAATATGCAATTTTTTTAAGGGTGGGGAGGGAAGGAGGTGCGATACTATTTGGGGTGCAGAGGTGCCAGCATTTTCTTCCTCAAAGGGCTCTTATGTCTTTACAAGCGGCCTGATAATCAGAAGCGAGACTGTGGCAAGGCAGAGGTAGGCCGGTTGCCATGGATACCCTGTTTATCACGGAAGCTGCTCTGCCGGGGCTCACTTCCTTGTTGCAGGGAGTGGCAGGGAAGGTTGGGTTGTTGTTTTTTTAGTCTGAGGGCCACATTCCCTCACAGGGAACCTTCTGGGGGCCACATGCCAGTGGTGGGCGGGGCCAGAGACAAAAGTGGGTGGGGGAAGTTTACCTATCTGCAGTGGGCTACATCGGAAGCCAGAGGTTTCGACACACACATCTCCATCCTCCATGCTGCCAGGTGAGCATGAGAGATGATCCCAGGTCAAGGAATCATCCCAGCCAGGAAAAAGCACTTGAGGAAGACTTGAGGAGGAGGTACGATCTGGGGAGCATCCCAAGGGCCAGAGAGAACTGGAGAGCCTATGGTTCCCCACCCCTGTCTTATTTGAGAACCCATGCATGAGGGATAGCTCAGTGGGCAAAGCACAAAGGTCTTAATCTGAAAGTCTCGGGTTTGAGTCCCATATTGGGCAAAAGTTTCCTGCATAGCAGAGGGTTGGACTAGATGACCCCATGGGGTCCCTTCCAATTCTACGAGTCTATGATTCTAAGGACCCCGGGGCTTTCCTCTACCACAGCACACTATAATTGGGCTACCCTGGTGCTCAGATCCCACCCCACCCACCTCTCAATGCAACACAGCTGCCCCAAGCAATGGAGGAAAAGGAGGAATAGCCACCAAGAGGCTTGGCTTGAAAGATTCAGTAGCCTTGATATAGATACTGAAAATAATAATATTTATTTATACCCCACCGATCCGGCTGCATTTCCCCTGCTACTCTGGGTGGCTCCCAACAAAATATTAAAAACACAATCAAACATCAAACATTAAAAACTTCCCTAAATAGGGCCGTCTTCAGATGTCTCTTAAAAGTCAGATAGTTGTTTATTTCCTTGACATCTGATGGGAGGGCGTTCCACAGGGCGGGCACCACTACCAAGAAGGCCCTCTGCCTGGTTCCCTGTAGCTTCACTTCTCGCAGTGAGGGAACCGCCAGAAGGCCCTCGGAGCTGGACCTCAGAGTCCGGGCCGAACGATGGGGGTGGAGACGCTCCTTCAGATATACTGGGCCAAGGCCATTTAGGGCTTTAAAGGTCAGCACCAACACTTTGAATTGTGCTCGGAAATGTACCGGGAGCCAATGTAGGTCTTTCAAGACCGGTGATATGTGGTCTCGGTGGCCACTCCCAGTCACCAGTCTAGTTGCCACATTCGGGATTAGTTGTAGTTTCCAGGTCACCTTCAAAGGTAGCCCCACATAGAGCACATTGCAGTAGTTCAAGCGGGAGATAACCAGGGCATGCAACACTCTGGCGAGACAGTCTGAGGGGAGGTAGGGTCTCAGCCTGCGTACCAGATGGAGCTGGTAGATAGCTGCCCTGGACACAGAATTAACCTGTACCTCCATGGACAGCTGTGAGTCCAAAATGACTCCTAGGCTCCTTCCCCTGCCCCACACACCCCTTTTGTTTCTACTCTAGCACCCTGTGGTTGTGGCACCCGGCCATTTGTGTTGCGATTGTACGCCAGCTCAGATGGGGACCTTTCGTCTTCGGGGGGTTGGTTTGCCTGCGGAAGTGCCGCATGCGATCCTGAACCAACATTGATATTCAAAATGAATGAATAAATCAAAATTCTGGGGTGGGAATTAAAAACAACAACAACAATGTCCTGTGCGTGAATTGCATCATGACCGACAACTGCCAGTACTTTGGGGGCATGGTCTGAGCAAAGTCCCTGAGGGCCTGATAGTGGGATTTGGAGGGCCACATCCAGTCCTGGCACTTGAGGACTTGCATAAAGGCAAGTCTCTGTTGGAGACAAGTGTCTTCTGTGCTTAAAGGTGAGGGCCGGCAGGTGGAATCTCAGGTGGGGCTAGGTTTTTAAACTAGTTCCACATCTTTCAAGCAATGCCACTTTCCACCAGATGATGGCACTCTATCCTTTTCAGCTCAAGAGTCGTCTTTTCCCTTTGTCCATGAAGGGGCAGCAATCGGAAGGGATTCCTGCTACGGAGCAGTTTATGGCAGCTTCCAGAATTATACACCTTCTGCCCGCATGTTAGATAAACCAGGTGTGGGGAAGTGGCCAGACAGCAATCACAGGAGAGTATGTATGGCTTTATTATGGTGCAAATAAGAGACCCAGCTCTTGCAATTTTCCTGGAAGAGTAATTTCCTGGCGGTTTTGCCTCCTTTATATAACACAGAAGTTTATTGCCTTGCAAAGGTGTGTTTCGGCCCACATTTTTAATACGGGCCTGCCAAATTCACACTATCCAAACCAGTTTGTGCACCAAAACACAGCTATCTTTGGGAACCTGCACTTCTCCCAATTTTATGATGCAGCTTTTCCAACCAAATGAATGTGTGCAAATATACATACGTTAGGAGACATTTAAAAACTCACACATCGGTGAAAACAACATCCCAAATGGCATTCTGCTCCGGGGAGGTTACGTGCAAAACGTGTCTATTAAGCAAAACTGGAAATTACAAGATTGATAAAATGTGTGCTGAAATGCCAATGAATTTCAGACGCGCACACAGAAATTGATGCAGAAATGTGGAGAAGCATGGAAAATGAGAAACTGAGAGACTCTGGGATAGCTCAGTCAGCAGAGCACAAGACTCTTCATCTCAGGGTTGTCGGTTTGAGCCCCACGTTGGATGAAAGATCCCTGCATTGCAGGACTAGATGCCCTTCAGTACCCCTTCCAACTGCAGTTCTGAAATTGGCAGATTTCATTCAACCTTGCTCAGAAGTAAGTTCCATTCTGTTCAATGGGATTACTCCCCAGGGAAGCGCACGCAGAATCACTGCCTTCATCCATTAAGCATCCGGGTTCACGTGTCCCTTGGCCTAGACCCCTGGGCACTTCACATGAGAGGTATTGATACATATTTTAACATGAGACCCTAAGAGCAGCCCTGCTGGATCAGGCCAGTGGCTTGTCTAATCCAGTATCCTGTTCTCACAGTGGCCACCCAGAAACCTTAATTGGAAGCCCTCAAGGAGGACACTGGCCCTAGAGCAACTGTTCCCACTCATGTGGCTTCCAGGAACTGATAATTTTTCTTTCATTAGATCCTGGTGGGCCGTGTTATGACCACGGGGGGGGGGGGCGGGGGGGAAGAGTGGAGTGGGATGCAGGTTTCGCTCGTTGATGGAGCACATGTGCTAATCAAAAAGAAAATACAGCCTTCCCAGGACTGTGTCTCGAGTCCATCCAATTAGCCTTTATCAATGCTATTTTAAACCCTGTGTGGACCCCCGATCTGCTTCCTGCTGCTTATTTGGTACTGCTGCTTAGCCCTGAGTTGATTCCCAGCGCGCCTGGGCACACCACCCCTCCC